CAAATCCCGGTCCAAAACCCAAAAGCCCCCCCCCCCCCCCCCCCACCCAACCCCCAGCAACACCCCCCCCCCCCCCCCCCCCACACACAAAAAAAAAAAAAAAAAAAAAAAAAAAAAAAAAAAAAAAAAAAAAAAAAAAAATTGCAATAAAAAAGAAAAAGAAAAAGAAAAAGAGAGGGCGGCTGACACATAATTGTCCGAACTTTACGGGTACCTATCTCCTGCACGGAGACATTTAGCACTCATAGTGTCGTAACGCCTTAGTGCTAGCAGTCAATGACCTTCCCTCGCTTTCTCATACTGTTGTTAACTTAGTACTCCGTAATCCCGTCCAATATCCATATACTACCTGGTACAGACCAGATGGGAAAATCCTCATAATGCACGCGGCAATTAGCTCTGACTTACACGAAGGTGAGGAAGGGGGGGGGGGGGCGGCGCCGGCGATGCCCCTCTTCCATTCCATCCATCCATCCTTCCATCCTTTCCATCCCTCCCCTCACTCCGACTCCGATGCTACATTGGCAACAACTGAATTTACTTAGTCAAGACCGGGAGAAAAAAAAGAAAAAAAAGCTCAGACCAACCCATGCGATACAGGACCTAAACCTATCGGACCTTTTCTCCGTCGGAAGAACGGACGGAAGAAGCGATGAGCTCCGAAAGTCCGAGTGTGGCTTGTAGAAAAAGAGTTGGTTGCCACGTGGTTAAGGCTGCCTTACCTTCCGCACGCACTACATACTTTCTCCTGGAAAAGTTGGTTTATAGGTTTGTTAGAGTATTTGCAAAGGGTTTTGGGTTAAGGCTGATTGATGTTGTTGGTTAGCTGTTAAGTGGCAAATTGGAAGGGGGAGGGGGGGGGGAGGGGATGGTGTTTGGGATTTTTGGACTTGAAACTGCGAGAGCTTGGTTTTCTTGTATGAGTGGCTTGTTAATACTGAGTGATCTAGGCCTTTTTTTTAGATGTTTGGTGAGGGCTAGAAGTGCAGGCTTTGGATGGGCAGAAGATAGTTACCTAGATACTCGGTACTGTCTGTGCCTGGCAGATGAGACGTAACGGAGTATAGCCACAAGCTTTTCTAACGTGCCTTTTCTTTTGCCTATTAGTTGTATGAAGGTCCAATTCAGGAACTACAACATCCCCATAGACTATAAACCAGCTATCTACGACCCGATACTGCTGATGGAAGGAGATTGTCCAGAAGGAGAGGTCCGGTCTCGCAAACACCGCTATCACAGCGAACAAAACCCTTTTCATGCCGAGTGTACGGAGTAAAAGTGGCAAAGATATCAGCCTCACGCGAACACCTGCATCCAGATAAACTAAGCCGCCGTCCTGCAGCCTCTTCGCATAGCCTCTAAATCGCTGTTGCTGCTAATGAGTCCATTCACCTAAGAAGGACAAGCTCCGCTGAGCTACTACTTTGGGTAAGAGTCGAGAAATTGAACCAGACAAATTCAGCCTTACTCGCCCTGTGCCATGCCCTGCCCTGCCCTGACTTATCCTGCCTTGCCTTTCGGACTCCCCTGACTGGAATACTAGCAGAAGTGGAGGTGGAGGCTGTGTTCGGGGACGGCGACGGCGACGGAGTAGACCTACCCCCGGTCCAAGGAAGATGTGGCAGAGTTGGTATCCATCTATCTATGAGGCGAGGCTGTTGCCTGTTTCGCTCTTCGGTATACCCGTATAAGGCTGATTTCCGGAGACGCCTGGTTGGAATTGGAGGTGTGGGGAGGGGTTGTATTGCCCTGGAGGCTGGAGCTAAGCTAAATCAACTGGAACCTGGGTTCGGTTGATCCTTCGACCGGGAGATGGGGCTCTTGCTTGGGGGTGGTCGTGTGATAGGAGAAGGCCTGCAGATATTCCTACCGGACGGCCAACCGTCTGCGTGAGTTGAACTTGGAAAAGGAAGAGTTTGTCATGCAATTCTTTGTTCAGTGACTTGGTTGCTGTTGCTGCTGCTGCATGGATATCCTCGATATGCGCGGTGGTCATATGGCATATGCAGGTGCATCGTGGCTGTTCATGTAAGTAGTAGTTGACAAGATCTATTTTTAGTATCCTGGTCTGAATATGGCTCCCAAGTGTTGTGTATATACAGGTGAATCTTTTGTGTGGAGAATGAAAGAAGTATTTACTCCTCATCCTCTCCTTCATCCTCCTCCTCATCCTCCTCCTCATCCTCCTCCTCATCCTCCTCCTCATCCTCCTCCATGTCATCAGGATCAACTTCATCATCATCCTCTTCCTCGTCATCCTCGTCGTTATCGTCAAATTCTACCCCCAAATCACCAGTAATATCCCACCGGTCACCCTTAGCAGCGGCACTGACGTACTTAACAAACTTGAGCGTGCCGCTGTCGCGCAGGACAATGCTGAGGCGGTTCCAGTTGGCCGCTGTGCTGAAGAGAATGCTGTCGTCTTCGTCGCCGGCGGCGGACCGATAGATCGCCGCATCGCCCTCGTCCTCGTCATCGACGGCCATGTAAATCTCGTATCCACCCACTGCGGGCTCGTCGGCGGACTTGGCATCGTCCTTGGACTCGGGCTTGGGCTGGGGCTTGGACTTCTCCTCGGACTCGCCGTTAGCCTCCTCCTCTTCATCCTCCTCGTCGGCACCCTCGGGCTCCCAGCCGGGCGTGGGCGTCAGGCACAGAGTGAATTCCAGGCGGGGCTCCTCCCCGGTATAGCCGCTGGCAAGGGTGTAATCCTGACCCCGGCGGAAGCGGCGCGCCATGTAGTCGTAGCTGGAGACGCGAGCCGCGCCGGTGATCAGGGCCAGCCACTTGCGGAACGCCCGGGACGGGAAGAGGTCGTTGAGGAGCTCCTGGAGCGGGGTCTTCTGATCCTCCGTGGCGGTTCCGTGCTGCTGAAACATGTAGCGTTGTTTGTGGGGGGGCCGGGCAACGGTCCACCCGGTCTGGGCGAGGATCTCGTCCGAGGAGTTGGGCAGAGATTGCTTCTCCTGCTCCTCGATGTACGTGCGCACCCGAGCGGAGAATTTGTCGGACAGAAACTGATCGAGGTTGAGGGAGGATTCGTTGCCGAACGTCTCGGACATTTCCTCGGCGATGTCCGGAGTCAGGTAGGAGGGGCGGATGTATTGAATCAGGAAGTTCAAGTCTGACTCCGTGAACTCGGCGCTGGGTTCCTCCTCCACCTTCGCCTTGCCCTTCCCCTTGCCCTCATCAGCCTGTCCGTCCGCTTCCTCGCAGACGACCGGCTTGGGCTGAGGGAGATCGTAGATGTCGCCTCGTCCCTGAAGCTGGGCCAGACTGCTGCGCTCGGCGAGCTTCTCCTCCAAACCAGCCTCATATCCGTCTTCGCCCTCCTGCGGGATGTGGAACCATCCGCTGATCGCCATGCGCACCCGCTTCTTGGACTTGTCCTCGCTCTCCTTGGGGTGGTAGACTTCCTCGACGTCGTGGAAACTCTCGCCGGGCTGGACGGTGAAAAAGCTCAGCTGGTTGAAGGCAGGGGGAATGCTCAGGCTGAAGTCAGGACTAGGGATCTTGACATCGTCGCCGTTGACATCCTTTTTCGTGGTGGTGGGGTACAGGCGCAATGCACCACCCCATTCCTCTTGCCATGGGGTGTCCGGGTCGGTCAGGTAGAGGATATAGGATACTCGTCTGCTGCCAATGACGTCGTCGTGGCACAACAGGTGGCAGCCTTCGTTGTAGACGTTGATGGCCATGTCGGTCTTGCGACCGCTGAGCTTTCCGGATCCGGTCACGGCGGAGAGGTATTCGCGGAACCGAGCAGAGTACATAGCATCGCGCAACTTCAGGATCGAAGGGAGCTTCGACAGGGACTCATCATCAAGCCCGTCCAAGTTGGCCAGATCACCCGACTGGAAGATCTTGTAGATATCGGTCTCCTTCTCAGTGAAGTCGACTTGGGCCTGGATTTCGTCGCGGACTGCCCGTAAGAGGGAGGGCTCGATCAAAGGGGAAATAACTCCATGCTTGTAACTTGAGCAATAGTCAGCCTTTTGTTTGAGTATAACATCTGGATGATAGACGAGTTGGTGATCGGGTGGGGTGGACATACGGAGCAGATTGAGCATACTGCTCGGTATACTTCTGTTGCTCCGAAGGGTCGAACAGACCGTCGCGGAAACGCGCAGCGGCTTCCTCACTGGACAAAGCGCGCTTTTTCGTCTCCGGCTGACCCTTGCTCGAGCTGCTGTCTGTCTTGCGCTTCATTTTCGGTGATTTTGACTGAGAGATATGAGAGGAGAGGAAGCCTGGGGAGGGAAATCGAGTTGCGACAGCGGAGGGCTGGGGATCTTTTTTTGCTAAATTTTAGTTTGGCGGTGAGGATTTTGCAGCTTCGATCCAGTCAGCCCACCCATCCCATCAATCAGGCCATGCAACCATCTACGGCACGGTGCGGTCTCTAGTAGCTACTTTCTTCTGCATGGTGGTGGAGATGGTCAATATAGTATAGGATTATGAATCCTAGTAGCCCTAGCAATCCAATTGTTACATTGTCTTGTCTATGAATTGAACTACGTCCTGTTCTTAGACAATTGAAGGACTAACTAGGAGATGGTGGCTCCGGTTCCTGAGTTGGCGGCTGGAAGCTTCGATTGCTCCGCACTGCCCGATAATGAATTCCCCTAACGATAAGCCGCCTATCATCTCCATCCAACCCATCTGCCCCATCATCACTGCTATCACTTCCATCTTCTGCCTTCTGCCTTCTGCTTACCACTTTCCACCTCTGCTACAGTACCACAGTCGCCCAAACAAACATTATCCTGATAGCCTGAAACTATCCTCTGCTGACAGACAAACGGCTCGCCTCGCTCTTCCACCCCCCCCCCCCCAACACGGACCCCTCAGTGAGCACAACGCAGACGTCATCGCCGATCGCCGCCAGCAGTCCATCGATCCAGCAATCCGCTTGATAGAGGGATCGATCCCGTCCTTCATTTTCGCCCCCTCAAAAATTCTACGGTCAAGGAAACACCGCACGGGGAGCAACATAGGGTATGCAGCCTGTACAAGAATCTCAAGAAAGTTCGCCCGATCGGCCAGGGACTCCGCCGCGCCCACCGTATTCTCCTGTAACACCGACCTTTGCGCATCTCGCACCTGTCATCCCTCCCTCCGCGGCAAACGGGGTATCGCACCCCATCGTCCCTCCCGCCGCATCGCCCTCTCCCACAACGGCAGCGCCGCCCTACAACGGCTTGACGCCGGACTTTGCTCCTCCCCCGCAGGCCCCGCGTGCAGCACCCTTCTTCGCTGCGGAACCCGCTCCGGTGCCCATCTCCGAAAGCGAGAACCCCGATGCGATCGCACTACGCGCTGCTATCTCGATCTTGCAGCTCCAGAAGCAGCAGACCCTGCGAGATATCCGGACATTGGATGAAATGAAACGAGCGGCGGCGGCGGACCCGGAAGGCTTTGCGCGCGAACTGGCTGCGGGGAATCTCACGGCGAAGGATAAGGGCGGGTTTATCAACTTCAGCCATGACACTACGCATGGTGACGAGGATGAAGATGAGGATGATGAGATGGAGGATGATTCGAAGGAAGGGAAGGCATCTGGTTTTGGAACGATTCCCCCTCCCCAAAACGTGGTTCGGATGCCTCCGATCAACTGGGCCAAGTATCATATCGTGGGCGAATCGTTAGATAAGATGCACGAGGAACAGCGGCGCCGGCCATCCGCGGGGGAGCCGCGAAGGGACGGAAGCGTCCAGCGGGCCCCAGAGTATCTCCTGGCTTCACCGTATCGACCGTTGACGGATAAGCTAGACAGCTCGAGCAAGGCCAAGGGGACTGGAGCCAAGAGCAAGAAGTCCTGATCAAGCCTCATTCTCTAAAATCAAAATCTGTTCGGTAAATCGACTAGACGGTGACAACATTAGCATTCATATCAATGGCTAAGATCACAGAAGCGTGCAGCAACCACAAAAGAGAATACTACCACACCTGCAGGAGACGTCCGCGTGTACAGTACATGACATGTGGAATCTTCCCAGCGACATCACAACCAATCAAGCACACTTGAAATCCTTCAACACCGCAAGTGTCTTCTGAAGCCTCTCATGGGCCTTCTCAACCCGTTCAACTTGTGCTTCCATCTCAGCCTCAGTGGTGATCGCCGGGGTCGTCTTGAGCTGCACCGGGGGTAGCATGGCCATCACTTCGCGCACCTCGTCCTTGGACGCCTCCGATGCTTTCAATGCAATCATCGTCCGATACCGCAGGCTCTCTACAGTCGCCTTCCTCCTATGCTCCTGTTCAATGATCCCAAGCTTTCGTTTTCCCGGACCAACCTGCTCATATCCGCATGCATGTGCGCTCAGCCAGGCCTGCGCTTTGGGACAATCGGCCCGCGTCTGCATGACGATATCGGCGACGGCCTCACGCGACAGAGGCGGGTTCGAATCGCTACCATCGTATCGCGGGACCATCTGTCCAGATACCTTCTTGCTCTAATTTTGGGGGTTCAATGTCAGCAGAGCGTGCAAACTCAAGAATTCCGTCATGTGTCTTCATTATTCCATACCCTAATATGTATCTTCAATCCCACCTGATCAACCTTCACATGTGCTGCGTCGTCCTCATCGTCCAGCGTCGCGAACGGGGACGCAAGCTTCGCGGCTTTCTCCGCCCAGAACCTGGCCCACGCCAGCTGGGACTTTTGAAAGGTGTAGAAGCTGTCGTTCTCACAGCGCTTGGATCGGTCGTGGACCGTGGTGGAGGTGGAGGTGTCAGGCTCTCTCGCGCTAGGGTGAGATCGAGGGTGAGGTGAAGGTACCGGACTGGAGGGTGGCAATGGGGTGGCCTTGCGTTTCTTTCTCCCCATTTCGGAATTTAGGATATGGGGTAAACGAGCTTAGTCTGGTTGAGTTCTTGATACGCCTGAACGGAGGAGTAAGTCGTTCCCTGAAAGTCAGAAGAGATGACAAGATGAGTTGGAGTAGAGATGAGATTAGATGAAGCGTAGGTGAAATGAGAGGGGGGATGAAGTTCACAGTGGATCATGCTGATTACACCTTCTCCCACTTTCTCTCTCACTTTCTTGACGGGTTCTACAACTCTTAAGGTATTGAGCATTGATTTAAAAGCCCGTGCTGGGTCATGATGGTCATTGTAAATCCGGAAGCGCTGGATACATGCTGAAGGAGTATGTGGGTATACTGCGTGCTAGTGGGCAGAAAGCTGCTATATATTATTGAAAGTCATTCTAAGAATATAGATTATTTGATTAAATAGTACTAATCCAGTATCTTAAGTACTCGTTCCTCAGATGTTAAAAATTGAGGAAATCTATACATCTAAATGCAGATACTATTGTACGTGATTATACATCTAACCTTATAATATTGGATAAGATCTGTTAAAAGTATACTAGTTTTATTGGATCTAATCTCAGCAGTATCTAATTTATAAGACTTCTAAAGATGAGGTGAGATGATTCTACTCTCTGAGTAGACTTATAGGTAGCTCTCTTCTGATAGCTGTCTCCGGCAGTTCCTTACTCCTAGTATCATATCATCTGGAAATGTAGCTATAGCCCCAGCCCCAGAGAGAAGTGTCAAATTGCAGCGAGGAGTCAGCAAATAGCCACGATGAAAGTGTCCAAACTTGAACTCGGAAGGATGAGCAATTGAGCTCAAGAATACTGTACATGCATACAGCTTTATTCATCATGTCTAAGTGATGGAGACCTATAATCCACCGCATCTAGCGGAGAACAACCAAGTGTTTAGCATATGTCCAAGAAACACCACAACCAAGGTCCACATAACCCACCAGATCTTCAACCTCACTCTCACCCTCACCCTCACCTAATACCTCTTAGTACCCACCCCCCTCCCCCAGCTCCCATCCCTCAACCCCCCAGCAGAAAGCAAAAGACAATCAAAGCTTAGCCTTAACCTCACTCTCCCAAGCCTCGACCCTCCCCCTCGCGGCCCCCTCCTCCTCCGCCTTCCGCTCCTCCACGCGATCCCGCCACGCCACCATCTCCGCATGCGCATCCAGAATCCCCAACGACTGCCGCCACATCTCCTCCTTCATCATCCCATAGATGCCAGTGGCAGCCTTGTTCTGCAGGCCGCGATCGCGCACGAGCTGCACCGCCTCCGGCAGCCCGCCGTACGCGTCGACGAGGCCGGCCTCGCGGGAGGCGGCGGGCCCGCCGAAACGCCGGGCCTCGAGCACAAGGTCGCGGAACGCGGTCGCCGACAGCTTCTCCCGGAAGACGCTCATCATGGGCGACTGCAGCGGCACCCCGAACTCCAGCTCGTTGATGCACAGGTACCCCTTGCTGGGGTTCTGGATCCGGTAGTCGTGGTACATGGCCAGCATGAGGCCGCCGGCGAAGGCGTGGCCGTTCACGAGGGCGAGGGTTGGCATTGGGTAGCTTTTTGCCGGTTGGTTTCGTTATACATTTGAGTAAAATTGGGGGAAAGGTGAAGACCTACGTAAGTAAGCGCCGGAATAACTTCCATAACCATTTCTCGACGAAGCCCTCGGTGGACTGCGCGAGTTCGAGGTCGAGACCGTTGCTGTAGAATTTGGGGATGCCGCTGGTGGTGATCACGACGCCCTTGGGGTAGCGGTGCTCGATGATGTCGAGGGCCAGCAGGAAGGCGTCGATGAAGGTGGGCGTGAGGCGGTTGTCTGGCGGGGAGGTGAAGGTGAGGATGTAGATGTTGCGGTCTTGTTCCGCCGCGGACGGGTTCGTGCAGGTGAAGGTGCCGCTGGTGGAGGTGATGGGGACGGTGAAGAGGGGCGACGGTGTTGGATTGGGTGTAGACATGTTGATTTGATATAATGAACAAATGCTGTGAGTCTAGGGGAATGTGTCTATGCTATACTTGTGGATTGGTATGATCTTATACGATATGGTAAAATGTGGGGAGAACTATGTAGTTAGTTTATTTCGGCCGAGGAGAGCGGAGGGAGAAACTGATAATGTAATCATGCTCATGTCCGCGGCATCACATGCTGCTAAAGCTTCATCCATCCACTTGCTTCCTCCTACATATGCACTCAACCCACTATGTTCTCCTTCAACTCAATCTGGAAGCGCGCCTTCAACTCCTCACGCAGCGTCTCTGCAATTCGGGCATTCGTCCACGGCGCCACCATGCCCTTCTCCTGAATCCGACCCTCCAGCACCGCCAACACGCCCACCGCGCAGGGCAACCCCACCAATTTGGCCATGGCGCTGCGCGACCCAGGCCCAACCGGCTCACCGTACTCCACCAGCGTGCTGGTGCGCCTCTCTCGCGACCCGTCCGCGTTCTCGATCTCAAAGAGATGCTGCAGCACGATCATATCCCGCTCCCCGGGCTGATACGCCATCTGCCGCTCCAACACGGCACACAGCGTATCCAGAGGCGTGTCACGTCCGTCCACCAGCTGAGTCTCATCGAAGAGTCCCAGCCAGCGAAGGCTTGACAGCACACGATCGATTTCCTCCTTATTCTCGCCTTTCTCCGCGAGGATGAACGAGCACTTCCTCACCACAGCGTCCTGCACGTCTTCAGCAGAGGCAGACGCGGCAAGCCCCAGAAGCTGCGCCGTCAACTGCGCCCACGTCAGTCTTCCACTGCAATCCGATGCGAGAGCCGGGAGCTTGTCTTGAGAGAAGTACCCCAACCCCACCAGCGCCCGAATGACCTCCGGAAACCCCGCGTACCGCAGGGTGCCCCGGAAGACCGTGAGCGCCTCCGGGATGGCGTAGGACTCCCGGAGACCAGCCGAATCCCGATTGGGATATCCAACGAAATTAAATCCGGGGAAGAGGCCTTGCGCCGTGGCGGCCGCCATCAGGTCCTTGCCTTCCACTGAGGTGATCTGGCCGTCGCGGTACCACTGCGCCGAGTTGAGCAGCGCCAAGAGTCCACCCCGCGGGCTCCACGAGAACTTATACCCCAAGGGGTTGTCGGAGTTCTCCGGGGCGGGCAGCGCGCCGCACCAGCTGGTGAACGCGTGGATCTTGCCCCCGGCCCGGTGGACTTCGTCGATCGTCTTCACCGCGTAGAGGTGGTCGATGCCGGGGTCGAGGCCGATCTCGTTGAGGACAGTCACGCCGGCGGATCGGGCGGAGGAGTCGAGCTCCCTCAGCGCTGGGGAGATGAAGCTGGTCGTCACGACGGGTTTGCTATGGGCGATGGCGGCTTTCACGACGGTGGCGTGGTAGATGTAGGGGATTAGGGAGATGATGATGTCGGCTTGGGAGACGGCGGCGTTGAGCTTAGCCGGCTCGCTGGCAACGTCGAGGGCGATGGCTGTGGTGTTACTGTAGTTGCCCGCAAGGGATTGTGCAGCGCTGAGCGTGCGGCAGGCCACGGTGACATGGACCCCGGCGTCGGAGAGGGCTTGCACGGCTGGCTCGCAGACGAATCCAGCACCTAGAAGAAGAGCTTTCTTACCGGCGGCAGACGACATGGTTGATACGTTTTGGAGGATGGGGGTTTACTGCTGACAATGGGAGAAATAGACGAAAGGAATTTAGAGTGTGTGGGAAGGAAGATGCGTGGCAGAGGATAGGCATACGCTCTGACAAGAGTCAACAGCAAGCAAGGCTGGCTGCCACGAATTTTCACTTTTACTGCAGTGGCCAATGGCTTCCTATTTCCCTCATATCTCCGCACTACATTGCGTGCTCTGCGCTGTGGGTGTGGTGTGGTGTGGGCTAAGTCATATCAAGCGCGGTATGTGATCCATGACTCACACCTGGCTGACCGCAGTGAGTGGCAACTGCACGAGAGCCATTAGTTGGTGTCCTCCTTATTATATTACATAGTAGTATAGCGGCAGTCCATTCAGCAGTGCATGATTCGACAATGGCACACGAAAGCGCTGCCCCTCGGTTGCCTTGATGCTAGTGCAGTGAACTATGGCTGCCTCCCATGCCGCCTGAAGCTTAGCTGAGCTTGCACATATGCCCCCATATAACGAAAACAATGCAGTTTATGTGACTTGGCCAGATTTCCGTCCACATTATAAACAGCCAACACGAGGATACACACATTCCACACTTATTCTGTATGTACATCGAATGCAGTCTGCTAGGGACTATTCATACTTCGACAGATTCAGCAAAACAAGTCCCCCTCCATGCATTATCTTCCCACTACCAACTGCCCACAACTTAAACCTGAAGATCTGTAATCATTTCAAGATGAGAAAGGAGACAAAGGACAGTCCCCGAGAATCCCACCCACATACTCACGCTCCCCCCCCCCTGGCCACAACTCATCTCAAGAACACACCAGCCTAACTCCTACTGGTAGTCACATAACCCCAGAAGAACCTCCAGCAATTGTCAAAGACCATTCCAACACCTCATGCTTACGAGTAAATTGACAGAGCATTTAGCATACACCCTTATTCGCAATATCAATCCCCGTCCTACAAGACAGCATCGATAACCCAACCCAAAATTTTGAGTGTCCGAGAGCCTTAAGCAACACAATTCAAGCCATTCAATGCACACGGAGACAGGCAGAATACCAGAGTAACCAAGTCCGGTTGGGCTTGATCCATCAAGCGCTCACAATAACACGTACGCCTCGTCGCCCAGCTAGATATATACTATATAACTTGAACTCCGGATTCGCATGAGGGTATGTGGTCTCTGTCTACGGAACTCCACTTTGAAAAAAGATAGTGGCTTTGCTCTGCTTCGTACCTCTGAGAGGATAACTTGATGGCCTTGTCTCAAATCATTTGATATTATCAGAAAATGTAGATGGTGTTTTAGTATCCGGGTGTTACGTCGAGAATGCAGTATATTGAACCAGCGCACAGCTCAAGCGACTAAGTTAGATCCCAGCAAAACACGAAACAACTAATAAAGGCAGAATTCGAAACGAGTGCGCATTATTATCTACAGTCACCAATTCACCCCGGAGATCCAATCACAAATGTCCGATATCAATGAGACTCATCTCTCAGCTCGTCCCCCCCTCCCCTCCACCCGCAAACCGACATCATCACTGACGTCATCCCATCCCAATACTCATAAACTAAAGTTACCACCCAGCTCACTACAACCCAGCACTACAGACCACTACAAACCACTTTCAAACCACAGTTTCCAATCCCAGACACCTTTTACACGAAGCAGTCACACACCCACACCCACACGAGCAAACAGTCCGATACAATCTTGATACCCTAGCCCGAAGAACTACCAGCTACAAAACACAATGCAATCCACCCACCAACCCGACCAACCCGCCCAACCCCCAAAAGAGGCCGGCTACAACCAAGCCTCCAACCCGGTGACCCAGACGCCCTACGAGCAGCGCACACCCCAGCAATCCAAAGCCCGACAGCGCGGGGACCCGACCTCCTCCATCACGCGGCGCACCGCCGACTCCCGCCCGGCCAACGATGAGCGCCTGCGCCAGCTGAACGCGGACCGCGAGCAGGAGCGCGAGGCCCTGCACCGGGCGGCGTCGGGGGTCGATCTGGAGTACGGGGTCGAGCAGCAGCCGGCGGAGGGGGAGATCGCCCACGCGGTGGAGAGCACGTCCGGCCGGGCGCGCGCGCGAGCGCAGGCCGGGGCCCATGCCGGTGCAGTGGGCAGTGCCAGTGGGCCCGGGGGCCCAGGGTATGAGAAGGGGTTGGCGGCGGATATGGACCGGAAGGCCGAGGAGCATGAGCGGGTCCTGGGGGAGCGGGTGGGACAGTCGCCGGCGGAGCCGGACGATGATGGGGCATTGGCGGAGAGGGAGGCCGTCAGGGAGCGGAAGTTGAAGCAGGATAGGGAGTTGGATGTCAAGGGGGCGGTCGCCAGAGGCACGGGGGATCCTGTTGTTGGGTGAATGCTCGCGCTTAATGACATGAGAGGCTTCTTTGTCTTTGTGGATAGAGCTCATTTTTGGGAAAATGGTACATAACGATTTTCTGATATTCGTTTGTCGAGTCCGAGATGTTTTAATGATTAATGTGGACATAAATTTGGTTTGTTTTTTTTGCGGCTGTCTGACCAGGCGATACGCGAGGGTATCACAGTGTACATCAATTTCAATCATCAGCATCGTCTCCTTCTCCGATGGATACCTTCTTCAATGCCAGATCCTGCTTCAGGTCATTGATGCGCTTGGCCAGCTTGTTCTTAAGAATGGCGTTCGGCATATTCTCCCACTTGACTGTCTCGGCACGGATCAAAGCCTCCAGCTCGTCAATTTCCTCGCGCTGCTGCTGTAGCTGGCGTTGTTGCTCCAGCTGCTCTTCATCCATTTCGTCGCCCGGCTCATCATTATCCTCACCATCCGATCCGTCACTCTCGTCGCCCGATGTGTCGGCTGCTGGTGTGGAGGGTTTGGTCGCCATAGGCGTACCGGCCTGGTAAACACCAGCGTCTGAGTGCGGACCGCTCGCAGCACCGGCCGCGGCGGCGGAAGCAGCAGCAGCAGCAGCAGCAGCAGCATCGCCCTCGTCTCCGGCAGCCAGCGCAGCCTCCATTTCAGCTGCGAGAGCGTCCTCGAAATCGTCTTCAAACAGAGCCCCAGCGTCCATAGCTTCATCAACCTCGCCCTCTGCATCCTGTTCTTCGTCGTAATACTCGTCACCGTAGTCTTCATACTCCCCACTTTGCACTATACCCTCGTTCCGATTCAACGAGGCTGCGTCCACCAACTCGTAGCGAGGCGGGGCTATCGAGGCTTCGTCCTGCGCGACCATCTCCTCCACCGCTTTCTCGACCTGTTCGATCGTCCGGGTGCTGACCCGCTCACGGAACCGACGCCTTCTAACCCACCGTAGAGGCGGCGCCAGACCATGCGGATACTGCAGGTTCTTGTCATCCGTCAGGGAAACCTCGTCCGGTATTGGATAATCCAGAGCCTCCTGTTCATTGGCCACAGGGCCCAGGATCAGCAGCATCTGGCATATATCCGCAGACTTGTACCATCCGCGCCGATCCCAACTCTTCATACCCTCGATGATGCACGGCAAGTCCACCAGCGCGGCGGCGTACTGGCGGTCGCGGACCTTAAAGATGGCACGGCGGCCTTCGCGCGTCAGCGGCTTGAAGGAGAACTCCGATCGGTCGAAGCGGCGCTCGGCGATGGCACGGCGGAGATATTCACAGTCGTCCCCGGGCAGCATGCGTAGGATAAACTGCTCTTCGATCGCGGGATCGATCTCCGTGTCGGAGGCTTCCGAATCGTAGCCAACACCGGTCGGGCGATTAGGGACCAGCCCCTTGTTCTTGATTCGGATAGACTGCACGCCGGGTTTCTTGGCCGGGTTAATCAGCTTGAGGCGTTTGGGGCCTGCTGCAGCGGATGCGGTCGCGGCGGCGGCGGCGACGGACGGTTCTGGTACCGCGGGCCCCTCTGCTGGGCGCTTCTTGGACGGCTTTTTCTTCTTCGGCTTTTCATCTTCTCCTGCTCCTTCGGCAACGGATGGTTTCCGTGGGATCTTGAGCGTGATCTTGCGTTGGGGAGTCTCCGTTGGCTTTGGCGTAGGAGGGGCAGGTTGAGATGGGGTCGAGGGCGCTGATGCTTTCGCCTTGTTCTTGTTGAAGGTGAGCTTCAGAGACGGCCGGGGGGTCTCCGACATGACGAAAGTTGTTCCACCAGACTGGCGGCGAGTATCAGCTGTTTAGATCTGAATAATGCAAGGCGGATTCCGGAGATTCTGAGGGAGATAATGAGAAATGAGAAGGGGAAGGGTGTAATGGCAAGAGGTGGTGATGGTGAAGGGTGGTGGTGGTAGGCGGAGGGAGGAAGGAAAGGCGGAAGAGCGACACGGCCTGGTTGAACTCCGCTTGTTCCTCCTCAACTTTCCATCCTTCTTATCTTCTCCAATTCATGTGCGCGCCTCAACTACCTTGTTCTTCAGCTTGATTTGATCAATCGCCCGATAGAGAAGGTTCCCTCACTTTAACCTGACCTCTATCACACCTCACTGCCATCGAATTCTCCAGCCATGTCCGGCTCCAATCTACATAACGCTCTTCTCCGCCCTCCGATCATTCAGATCCTGCGCGCTGCAGGCTTCCACTCGACGCGTCCCTCAGTCCTAGACACTCTCGCCGACCTCACGGCCCGATACATCATGCTCCTTGCCTCATCCACAAGCGCCCATGCAGCCAACGCCCACCCCGAAGACCCCATCCCCGTGCTCGAAGATATTTACCAGGCCTTACAAGATGCAGGCGCGTTGCGGCCGCAACTGCGGGAATGGGAGGAGGAATGGCAAGCGGAAGAGGACATGCGAGGACTAGAAGGGTTTCTGTCGTGGTTCACCGGCCCCGCCAACCGCGAGATCCGGCGCATCGCTGGGTTCGTGCCCAGTGAAGGGGACATGGTGGACGCGGACTCCCTGGAGAAGGAGGACTTCCTGACGGCCTTGAAGAAGAAACACAGCAAGACGGGAGAAGAGTCGCGATATGCGGGGACCGTGCTGGGGAAGAGCGGCGAGGAACACCCGATCGTGATCGAGGGCGGTGCACCGACCCTGCAGGATTGGGGGTCCCAGATGCGATCCCGCGCACCCTATATGGCCGACAGCGACTCCTCGGTCGTGAGCAGTGCACCGAGCAATTTGTCTGATGGAGAGGGAATGGACGTGTGATGGGATAGATGGAAGTGTGCCGCATTCTATCTACGATGACTCCTTTGGTTTCCTTGGTCACCTCCGACCATGAGACCCAGTACCCCAAGTCAAGCGCGGAATCTTCGCGTATGAGAATATCCCCTTCTCCACGTTTGGGACCCAATTCGCCCATTCGACCCCAGTTGGCTGGTCCAGCTGAACGGCATTGCTAGTAGCAGAAAGCCATCCCATTCGCCATCCGGCCGGGGGCACAACCTCCTTCGACCTAAATCGTTGACGCTAAGCACAGGAGCTACGCCATCCAGAATTGCAACATAAGCGGTGTGGCCGAGTCCAGCGCAAACTTGAGAAACAAGAGGACGATGTCATTGCGAGAATGCATCCGAGGGATGGCAGGACAACATGGAGGGTTTTCATGTATCTACCTTACTAGGGGCGCAATTCAGGAGCCTCGCGTACTTGAGATGAGCTGAATGTATAAAACATCTCAACCACTAAGATGAATCCTTATGATTCTGTCCTATATGAGAACTTCTAGGCAATGCTTGGCTGGCCGGCGGTGGGTGGTCTCATCCAACCGCCAACGGATAACTGATAACTCCGTAGTTCCACCTCCGCTTCTCCCCTCACCTTTCCCTCCTCCTCTCGACAACAACTCTCCGCACCAAACACGCCCACCCACCATGGTTTACGCCTTCACCCTTCCGACCACCTCTCATCTCTCCTTCCAGAACTTCCTCTCATCCAGCACACATCCATCCCTCCCGCAAGCAGCCACCACCGCCCGCCATGCCCTGCGTCAGGCACTCAAAGCCCACAAGCGTCTACCCCGCGGCCCGCAACAAGACGCGCACCTATCCACCCTCCTGACCACCCTAACCACCTACCTCCCCTATCTCGAAGCCATCTCCAGCGGTCTAAGTAGCAAGCCCAGCGACGCGACCAGCGAAGAGATCGAGATCACCCTGCACAGCGAAATCGTCACCTTCTGGCGCCCGACCCTCACCACCGCACCCAGCACCACCCTATCACTCAAAAACCTCCCTACCTCCCCATCTGCCTTTTCACCCAGTAGCGGGGGCGGGGGCGGCAGCAAATTTCTCAGCAGCAGCGGCCACCGAATCCGCGGGGAGGGCCTTGACTTCGAGATCGCCTACGTGCTCACGACGCTGGGCTATGTGCTCAGCCTGCTGGCGCACACAGGGCTGATGCGGACGCTGTACGCGGCGACGACCCCGACGCCGGACCAACGCATCGCCGCCGTCCAAACGGCCACCCGATACCTCCTGCAAGCCAGCGCCATCCACAACCTCCTCGCCTCATCTCCTGCCTTCGCGACCGCCGCCCGCGCCATTGCTGCGTCGACATCGATGACATCCCCGCACACAGCCCCTACCACCACGTCTACCGCAACAACAACCCCCTCCCTCCCCGACCTTGACCCAGGCACCCAAACCGCGCTCTCCGCCCTCGCCCTCGCCGAAGCCACCCTCCTCGCCGTCCTGAAGGACGACTCCTACGTCTTCGCCTGCATCCAGGCGCGCAATCCCCGGGACAAGGATTGGATGGTGCGGGCGCCGGAGATCCCGAAGGTGCGCGCGCACCTGTTCGCCCGCCTGTGTATCCGGGCCGCCGAGTACGCGGAGCAAGCGGCGGCGGGGCTGGGGTCCGTCGTAGGTAGGACCGGGAAGACCGGGGCCATTGAGGAGGAACTGCTGGGGTACACGCGGGTGCTGGGACGGGTGGCGCGCGCCCGCGCGTGTCGGTTCTTTGGGGTCGATGCGGAGTTGGCGGGGAAGATCGGGGAGGCGATTGCGTGGTTGCAGGCGGCCAAGGGGGCGCTGGGGGTGAGAAGCCGCGGCGGTGGCGCGAAGACGGAGGCGGAGAAAGAGGCTGCGTCGAAGGGGGGTAGTAAGTTCTCCAGGTTCAAGCAGGGGTTCAAGGAGAAACTCGAGGAGAAGAAGATGGAGAAGGATGCTGGGTCGCAGGGTGGTAGTGGTGATAAGAAGGAGCTTGGGCCTGGGGACAATGCGGGGAGAGACGAGGAAGGTCGGGTGATTGAGATGTTGGAGACGAAGTGGGTGCGGATGAACAATACGGTTGGTTTTACTCCTGCCTTTGTATGAATGGTGGGAAATGATGCTGACGTTTGAGACGACAGATTAACACCCAGTTGATACCGCCGTCGGCGGATCTGTTGGCGAATTTACCTTCGGGCCGTGATATTCATGCTCCGCCGGGTGCGTACCGGATCCCCTCGCTGGACGAGGAGCAGCTGGTGCGCATGCGTGCGCCGCCGGCGGAGGATGATTTTGGGCCGGGCAGCGATGTCGAGGAGAGCGATGAGGAGCCTGCTGGTGTGTCGAGGGTGTGGACGCCCGGGACCGTACCGGGGCGGACGGACAGTGCATATTATTGATACCCTGTTGATGAGCGGAGGAGTAGTTGATCAAATAGCAACATATGTCTCATACAAATCGAGTCGTGATCACTATCCCTCTACTCCAACCCTCTTCTAAATTCTCTCCTCTACATACACCAACCTCACCCTCTCTCGCAGCCTGACCCAGAATCACAAAGCAAGAAAAGATCCCGATATCGATATTTTCCACCCCAAATCCAATGACATACATCGCATAGGTGAGGGGGTGTGTAGGTAGGTAGGTAGGTAGGTAGGTAGGTAGGTAGGTAGGTAGGTAGGTAGGTAGGTAGTATAGCTAAAGCAGACAAGAAACAGAAAACCGTTGAGAAATTTCGGAAAGCAACATGTAGTACAACCATGACACAAAAAAAAAAGACGATATAGTATAAACACCATCCCTGGCCCCTGCGATGCTCATCACCAGGATCATGAAAAGCTCCCCGCCCCCAACCCCCCTCCACTTCCTTCACTCAATTCTATCCCCCCTTTCACCCTTTTAAACAATTCAAGCAGACTTCTCCTGCGAGAAGTGGTTCTTCTCCTGGAAGAGATAACCCTTGATCTTGCGCTCCCCGAGGAGTTCGAAGTATTTTTCTAGACACGAAGCAGAAAGATATTAGCATATGTCCCAAGCCTCGACAGAAACACACAGTGGGCAACTGAGAGTAGCATTCAGCCAACCCCTCTCGGAATAGAATATCCCATCCCCAACCCTCCTCAATCTCAACCTCAGTACGCAGTATGCAGTACTCAGAACTCAACCACCCCAATCCCTCATCCCATCCAACCAAGCCCCAAACCCCCTCCAATCCTAACCCCAATCACGCCCAAAAAGGACCACAGCAAGAACACTCAATCAGACGGAAAGAAAAAAAAAACCATACCCCTCAAAACCCCACACTTCTCGAGGTGGTTGACGCCCTCGCGCGCATAGCACTTGCCCAGCTCCTCGCCGACCAGCCGCGACATCATGCTGCGGACCCACTGCTCGCGGATGATGGCGTCGCGGGCGTTGTGCAGCGCGACGTTGTCCTCGTAGTCGACGCCGTCGTAGGTCGGGGCCACGGTGGGCTTCTTGGCCAGAAAGGCGGCGGATTCCGGGGTGGGCATTTTGATCGGGTCGGGTTTTTGTTTTCGGTTTGATTGCGGATCGAAGAAATTCGTTGGCGGGAGAGGAAAGGTGCACTCCGCGGTGAAAGGTTTCGTGGTGGAGGGGGTTCAATTGCGGATTGGGAGGGCGATTGATGGTTCGGAGTGTTCGGACGGAGGTTCATGAAGTTCGGACGGAATTGAGAGAGGATGGGAGCAAATGCAATTGGGGGGCTGTGATTGGATGGGGTGGGCGGGCGGTCTGCGGTCACTGCCGCGTTATTGAGCATCCGCATTTAAGCTGGCACTGCAGGCAAGAATACTAGGGTGGGCGGGAGAGAGCTGGTGTGCTGTTTTCATCTGCGGGTTGTGATTGATGATTAGTCATTATGTGTTCTATGAAGCTGGTTTGTAAACTTGAGTAATGGTTTGCAAACTTGAGTAAATTACTAGTTATACGAGCGGTGTTTCATGTGTCAAGTTCACCTGAATAATGTAAGTGGTTGATTGAGTTCCTCATCGAAAAATATACTCATACAAAGACCGAAAGCGAAGCCGAAACGCCTGGCCAATTTACAAAGTCCACATTAATGCACAAGTAGTCCCCATACTCCTCATCTCTTATCATGCAGGCCTCACAAACCCATCGTAAACACCTATCATTGCGTCTCCTCTTCTATGCGAGGAAAGAGCTTGTCGCGGAGCTCGTTCAGCCGTTCCCTGAACCGGTCCCATGGTGGGCGATTCAACTGTTTGCTGTACTCGCGATACTGGTACATCTCACCCCAGCAGTCCCGGCCAAAGTTACAGCCTGCCATATTGACCAGGAAATCTCCCTCGTCATAATGGACCTTTGAGTCACCCCCGTCGCCGCAGGCGCCAGGAGGGAAGGAGTTGATTTGCCGCTGCGGAAGGAAGCCCACCCCGCTGCGGACCCACGGCTGGTTGGTGTAGAGATACTCCAGCGCATCTTGCTCCTTGTGCTCCCACTCCATATGCTTCTGTTCGTACATCACGGGGTCCCACCAGGCGTCCAGCAATCGATCGGCCCAGAGGGATCGTCGAATGAAGAAGGAGCCGAGGTTGAACCCGCCGCAGTCTTGCGACAGAAGAAAATTGATCGAGGACGTATCGTTATCCCCGCTCGGAGAGAGAGAAACCTGATCCAAGTAGGGATCGTTGAGAGGATGATTGATGCCAAGTGGGTTATAGACGTTGATATCGCGATAAGCAAGTTCGCCAAGCCGGTGGAATATATGGTCCTGCAGGGAGTACGAGTACTCCATAATCCAGGTGTTCAGGTCCAACCACCAGAACCTACAGCAGAATTAGCTATCACGCACTCCCTCTTTCCCTTGGCTAGTACAGCATGACTTACCATTCCGCATCGGGGTATTTGCGCATGGCTTCCCGAATGATGTCAACCTTCTCCCAGTTTTCGCGCCATTCATGTGAATAGCGCTTCTTGGCCAGCATGTTGACCGTCTCAAGCTCGTACCCCCAATGCTTGGCGTAGTGATCCTTGTTGCCGATGCTGTTGCGCTCGATCGCCCATTCCCGCGCGCCCTTCCACTCCATCACTCCCCCTTCGATATTCGATTCTAGGATAATGACGAACTTGCGCCCACCACCCAATGATGACCGTCTGTAGGCCTCGATGATCCCTGTAACAATGGGTCAGTGAATCGTGTGTTGCGCGCGCAAACGATATCTGTCCCTACGTACGTGTCCACAGCAAGACATATCCGAGCGCGAAAGCGACCAGAACCAGTAACAGCCGCGAGCGCCTACGTCGAAACACCGCCCTGCCAAATCCCCAGGAGCGCCAGCCGTCACCGGAACTAGTGAACGGGTACCCCCGCCCGAATTCGTCCTTATCAACGTAGCCATTCGGGGATCCTGATCCTAGGCGAAAGCGCGGCAGCGTCGCAGACAACTGACGCCTCGACCGCGAGAAGAATCCGTTGTTCTTGGTTGCGAAGGATGGATAGCCTCGCACCTCGTCGCTCTTGGCTTTGGCGACGGCCCATGAGATCCCACTCGGCCCTAGGGCAGTCGGGGAGAGCAAGCCACTGTGAGGCGTGGATGTGCCACTGCCGTGTGTGAATCCGGGGCTGGACCATCCTCCCACCCCCGGCGGGTGGGGAGATGGTGACCGGGAGAACGACATGGGCGGGGTGTCGGAGCCGACCAAGACGAGAAAAGTGGCAATTTCAAGCGAACACAACGGCCACTCAAGCTGAGGTGTTACTGAACAGGTAGTCGGCGCAACTGTCGGAGGAGACGAGCGCGTAGGGAGAGGGATGCCGACTCATGGACAGAAGGGTTGAAGAACGAGGAACAGAGAGAGAAAAATGGGACCCAGAGCGCCGTGAGGGAGAGATATGGTCGACATGGAGGCTACTAGATAACAACAACCAAGCCATTTGAAAAGAAAATTAAAAGTAAAATTAACTGGGGAACGGAAAAGGAATGGGGGACAGGAACAGGCGCAGAAACCCATCCGTGAACGGGTCTGCCCGTTTCCGTCGAACTCGAGGGAGTGGATGGCCACTTGTCACTCGCAACGGTTCATTTCCAAGGGCACACGCTAGGGGTGGCCCCAGCAGAACCACACCGTGGGTGCAAGTGGTTTAGGGACGGACAGAGCTACGGCCATAAGGTCGACAGTCACCGGGAATGTAGGTAGTAGAGCCGAATTGTACCCTTCCGCGCGCGCGCGCGCCTATACTTTCAGTGGGACATGGCCATTGTTCATGAAAAGTGCAGATACTTGGGGCTGTACAAAACGATTCTGTGACACGAACACAATGAGCAGCCGATTCTCAAACAAGATTAGGATTGGGGGATTTGCAATCGGTGGTTGGTGGGGTTTAGAGAAAAGGAGATGAAGACTGTTACCAAAGGAAATTAAAATCAATCAACCTTCAATGGGGAAGAGCCCCGCCCCCTCGCTTGGACCACAGCGAGCGAAGGACTTTTTGTCTGGCTGTTCTGCCTGGCATTCTTCCGGGTGCGGCAGTAGCTGGACCGACCCATCCATAACACTGTTTCAGATGATCAGGAAGGAGCCTCATGGTTCTCATGGTTCAAATGTATGGGTTGATTGAGTTCGTGTGCTCATACTGAGTACAACCCGATATTAATGACGATGGAGAACTTGAAGACGATTGATAGTGCAATTGAAGCTAAGTCGGGCTAAAAAAGTAGGGGCTCCACCACACTAATCTCCAAGACTAACCCAATGGGTTGGGAGTTCGTCTCAGGGTCACTCGGCCCGAACTGAGTATGTACAGCCCAGCACATACTGTAGACTACATGACAACCACCAAAACACTATTCCTCTCACCATAAGAATAAGAAAATTACCATAAGATGTAAAACGTTCTCAGCGTATTCATAAGTATACAACAGCGTAAATGATATCATGGATCACAGGGGGTGTATCTCGTCTGGCTTTTCATCTTCAACATCCAATCGTAGCTCCGTTTCATGGGCGATCAAGCAGTAACCCGTCCCAGTTTTCCTGAATTCAGCACAAATCCCAACCCAAAAATAAGTCACAGCTTTCCAAAACGATTATATAAAACACCCATGTTCCTATTTGACAAGCCCATTTGGCTCACCTTGGTTTCTATCCGACTCGGCCAAGCAAGAACCCTCTCACTTCTTTCCATAATCTTTGAGTACCGGAAGTTGATTAGCAGCCTTTTCCTTGGGCATCAGCACTTTGCGCACTGTGAACCCCTTCTCGGCTTCGGGTCGCGGACGCGCGCTGTCTCCATGATAAAACTCGCATTCGAACTTCAAGAACTTGTTTCGATGTTGCCAAATAGTAATGACGTCGCCGGTGTAAAGCTTGCCGAAGTGGAAACCCTCCCGATTGTTCTTGTCCCCCTCAGGCCCGCGTCGCAGCTCAGTGTCATTTACCCAGATACATTTGCGTGTTTTGGTAGACAGAATGGCCATTACCCCCGGGACAGTCAGCCAGTCTTTGCCATCGGCGATTTTGGCTTCGATGGCCGGCGCCCAGAAGGTGACCTCCAAGGCATATGCAGGAACCCGTGTGTCCATTGGGTCGGGATAACAGATAGTTGCTTGGGGGCCCCGACCCCATGAAGTCATTCGGTTTTCCAAGCGAAGGGTGAGGTCGAATACCGATCCAGGCAGGGTACTCAACTTGCCAAGGAGAAGTCGAGGCTCTTTCCGTTGAGGCATAGGTTGCGGAATTTGAAGTGGCACCTCATCTGGTTCAGGATCAGGTTCTGCGGGCGGTTCCGGAGGCTCTGGTCTCTGGCTTATATCTGGAAGCTGCTTTCCTGTTTTGGCATCGATGGTATTGGCCAATTCGATACTGAAAATTTCCACTTCTCCACTTCGATCTTCAGGCTCTTGGGTCTTTTGCTTGGAGAAAGGCTCCGGACTTGAACTATCACTGGCAGTATCAGGCATCGGCAGCTCTATCCGTCGACTGAATATGGCCGAAGGCTTGGGGGTCTCATCCACAACATTGGTCCGCTGTTTCGTGCTCGAAGGTTGCTTGACCGGGTCGCCTATGTTCGCTTTAGTTGGCGGTTCCTGTGCCTCGGCGCCCTGGGGAATGGGACTCGATGTGCCAGGGTCGCGTGAGTTCACGTTCAGCTGCCCAATAAGTTTCTCAGCTCCCATCAAGCTAGGTGCAGATCCGGCAATGGGGTTTTCCGGGAGGGAGAGGATAGAAAATAGGCTGTTGCCGTCGCTTATCATCGACTCACCAGTTGAAGACACAAAGTCATGGATGCTGTAATCATCGCCCTCGAACGCGTCCACATTTTCCCCCAACGCGTGGGAGCTGTGGAGGACCGACGGCGTGATCTCACCAAAGAGGCGTTTCGGAGTAGATTGTGCCACTGGCTGAAGGGACGCGAAGCTTTCGATTTCCGGAAGCGACGGGTAATGGATATTGGCGGGAGGGTAATCGAGTTTAATTTTTTTGGATTGAGCCAGGTCGTCCCCCTCTTCATCTAGGATTTGTACCGCGTTCTCGTTGAGCGAAAGCTGGGATGCGTCCAGCTCGTCCTCCACATCTTCCCCGATGTCTGAAAGCTCCTCGACGACGTCAGGGTTGACCTCGTCGTCCTCGTACTGGTCAAGATCGGGGATATTGGCGATCCATGGATGCTGGAAACATTGTTTCTGATTTGATCGAGAATGGGGATCACGAGTCAAGAGCTGCGCAACAAAGTCGATGCCATCTTCTGAGACTCCAACTGCACGAAGCTGGGAGTAATCGGCATCCTCGGTCATGATGATTCTAAGCATCTGAGCTCCCCTGTCATCGCCCCTCGGAGCGAACGGAGGGACACCAGCGAGCAAGTGGAAAAGAACGGCGCCAAGCGACCACATATCGACGGATTGACCGTAAGGAGACGTTTTCGGAGGCCTGAACATTAGTACTTTATCAAGACAGAGACAGACATCATTATACTTACGGATCGCCCAGCCTACGCCGCTTCTTGACCTCCCCACGCCGGTATGTCTCATATTCAGGATAAACCTCAGGGGCACAATAGAGCAGGGTGCCGCAGAAGGTCCTTAAGAATGTCTCTTCCTGAACTACTTTTGAGAGACCGAAGTCTGACAATTTGACCCTCAGCGGATCGAAAGAGGAAATCAGGATATTGTCGGGTTTGATGTCACGGTGTGTGATCTTTCGGGCGTGCAGATACTGCAATGCATGCAAGATCTGACGGGCCATAGGCTTCACCATGTCCTCTTGGATCTTGCCATGCGATTGTAAGTAGGTTGACAACTCGCCGCAAGGGACGTACTCCATGATGATGTAGATCCAGCGCTCGTGTTCGTAATGGTCGATGTATTGTACAATGTTAGGCTGGAATGAGTCCAAAGTCATTAGCTATCACGATCCGAAGTGGCGGCAAAGGAAAGGAGGAAACGTTACATGTTTTAAGTCTCTCATGATTTGCATCTCATTATCAACTTTCTTGTCGAGTATGCCGTTTTTCATGAATCGTCGCTTGTCAAGCTCTTTAGCGGCATATACCGCTCCATGCTGCTTTGTCGCGAGCTTATAGACTGTTGCAAAGGCACCTTTTCCAATCTGACCGGTGACATTGTATGTTGATCCACCAGACCAGTGCATCCCGTAGGTATTGGAGCCTGACAACTGCAAGGCCGGTGCGGGTGTCGCGCGAGGATTGCGCTGAGTCTTGCCGGGCTGTTGAGGTTGAAGCTTTGAGATCCGCTCGAAGTAGCGTAGTATGTTTTCGGTGTACTGCATCATGTAACCATCCCGGGAGGGCATGCGGACAATGAAGCGAACCTCATCCGAAGCGTGGTCACCATTCATGACTTGGATCACCGAACCATTGACTAGCATACGGCTTTTCTCTTTCTGAGTCTTCCGGAGACGGCAGTTGTCCACTATCGTACCATTGGTGGAGGTATCCTCGAGCATCAGAATTCCGTCCTGGGTCAAGAAGATACGACAGTGCGTGTTGGAGATTCGTCCCATATTGCCCTGCGCTGTGAGCAAAAGGTCGCAGCGGGCTGGGTTTCGTCCGAAGTAGAAACCGGCACATGGGTCGCGTACTTGGGATGACAGGCGAAGAGCAAAGTCCAAGGCAGCAGTATCAGAACATTCATAATCTAATGCGTGTCTTTGCAGAATGTGCTGGGGACTTTGGCGGGCGGTCGCTGCCACGGCCTCGTGCGCTGCGGGCGAGTTGGGGTGTAGGATACAGATGATGTCCGTCACATCATCTTCAAGAAGACCAGAGTTGTTGTAGCCAGCACGGCGAGGGTCCGTACACGGCTGGGTTGATTCCTGAGTCGCCTCCATTTGTGATGATGACAAGCGTTTGCAGTGATTGATAAAGAAAGGCGTTCAAGCTGAGAAGTGTGTATATGGGTAGAGATAACGTGAAGCTATAGACAGAAAAAGACTGGGAGTGAAAAAATAGTGTGCTCGTGATTAGTCGTGAAAATGCAAGGAAAGATATGCGTAACCAAGGCGATTATCAACACGGCTGATTCGCACGGCTGCATTTAAGTATAAGTCTCTGCAACATGCACTTTCCCATTTTATGCGTGCGGTTCGTGATACAAAGCGCCAAGTGCTCTTACCTCGCGAGAACCAAGAACTAGCGCCTCATGCACACAGTGCTAAGTCTTGTTTAACCCGGGGCAAGCTCTTGAAGACCAAGATAGTCTGTCCACAGCGGTTGATACTGTCTGGTTAGTTGTCACCGGCTGTAAGCAGATTAACTATGTATCGCGCGCTCTAGCACCAAAACAAGCAAGATCAAGCTGGTGTGGTATTTGAGCTCTTGATCGACTCGAGCTTCGGCGAGCAATCGTGCGCGTTGTGTATGTTCAAGCCCCCGATGCAGCGCAAAGCTGACTCATTGAAACAAGGAGTGAAGGGAGCGGTGTCGACCGGGCCGTATGGATCGGATAATGCGATCTTTCATCTAATCATATCTAAAGCCGGCCACAAACCATTATTAGCCAAGATGCCTCTCGATCGATAGAATTGTTCCACGGGGAAAAGAAAACCGAACTTACACGATTGACGTGCTCTCCCCGCCAGCCACCCACTCACTACAAGTCCAGATTGCTGCGATGGTCTCAGCTTCGAAGGCGGAACCAACAATAGAGACGAGAGAAGAGGCTGTCCGGCAGGCGGCGTCGTCGGAGAAACATGCAGCAAGGCGAAGAGAAGGCAAGGCTGGGGGGAGACTCGGAGGCACCGCTCCACTAGCAGTAAGTTGTTTGGTTATTTTGAGCTCCCACCGCAGCCCCAGGCATCAATCCAAGCCACGGGTGCGCTAATTGGTGCCTGGCCAATTGGAGTCCTGGCCTGAGAGGCGGGCGGCAGTTACACCACTTTGGCAAAGATGATCCGTGGATGAAGCCGGCAGCTACAGGTACCTAGGTATATTTGCTCTCGTCCAGTATACTAATAGTTACATGTACAATGTCTCGAAAATATGCACCGCCTTGCACCGTTTTGCACCGTTTTGCACCACAATTTGCCTTTATCTATCGTGTGCCGTACGGCTTACTCGGATCAGTACTACGTTGATATTTTCCACTCAATGCCGTGTTGAAAACTTGTTCCAAGCGAGCGATAGCGTCCGTGGATACCTCTATGCTTAAGGTTATGGCCTGAAATGTCGATGATTCACAAGGAGGAAGGAAGACTTACGGTAGTGGACAACAATCCGATTCCCCGACATTTTCAAGCCTTTCTCCTGGGCGATGGTCGAAAGGTCGTTGGGCCCTAGTCCAGATGCCTCGAGGTCCAGCCAGACCATGTTGGTCTCCACTGGGTGGGCGAGCTTGCCACCCAGGCCAGTCCAAAGTTGAGCAACCTTCTTTGCATTCTGATGGGATTCTAGAAGCTTTCCTTGTTTGCCATGAGGGTCAGGCCCAAAGGTCTCTTCAACAGCGACGCGGGCGGCCGCAGCCAGTACTCCCGCTTGACGCACCCCACCCCCAATGGTCTTCCGGAACCACCGAGCTTTTTTGATGAAATCGGCGGACCCTACAACGATACTGCCGATAGGAGCACCCAAGCCTTTAGAGAAGCACAGACTCACACTATCAAACAGAGTGGTGTATTCTGGCAAGCTACCCGCTCCAGACACTACTGCTTCCCATAGTCTCGCACCATCGAGGTGCACCTTGATGCCGTTTTGATGCGCCCAATCAGTGATTCTTCGAGCTTCTGCAAGCGGCATGACCCTCCCATCCAGAGTGTTCTCGAGACTGATCAACTTTGTTGGACAATAGTGGATATTGTCACTCAGAACGGCATGCTTCTGGATGTCCTCCAGAGTAAGGTAGGTGCCATTTTTGGGAACAACCGGGAGGACAGTCGCACCAGTCAAAGAGCTGACACCGCCTGCCTCGTAGCAGAAGATATGCGCACGGTGATCACACAGCACTGAGTAGGGTGGCTCCTTGAGATGGGTGCGGATAGCCACCTGGTTACCCATAGTGCCGGACATCACCAGTAAAGCACTTTCATGCCGCGTCCGCTCTGCCACGTATGCTTCCAGATCATTTGTTACCGGATCTTCACCGAAGACGTCGTCGAGAAGGGTGGTCTGGCAGATAGCTTCTAGCATTGCGGGAGTAGGCTTGGTCATGGTATCGCCTTTGTTGTTTTATTTAGCAAGATCCACGCATCACAGCGTTGTCCATGAACTCACTTCTGAGATCAAACTCAGCGGCGCCAGCACCCTGCCACGTGCTGGGCCTGCTCCCATTGCTATGCGAGACAGTCGATGTGCTGGCCATGGCGAATCGAGGGGAATATGCGATTCGTGAGATAGGAACCAAAGGTCTCTGAGCGGATGGGTTCCGGAGAGAAAGACGGGTGAGGTATCTCATTAAGACTTTTGTACTCACAGTAAACGGTAGAAAAGAAGCAGAAGGAGGGGGGGTGGGGGTAAATTACGAGCAAGCCGGAAGCCGTCAACCCGTCAAAGTAAGCCCGAAGCCGACACCGCAGGGAAGAAGGGCCCGGGGAGGAGCCGGGAGATGGGGAAACTGCCTATGCGGGGTGCCCAATCTGCTGGGCAAAACTTCCCGCCGCGACCAGCAAGAGACCAACGTTCCGAGGCAGAGGGAATCCAGTCGGGTTCCGTTCCATAAACCATGAGTGTCTGTAATTGTAAGACTGTAAGGCTGTAACACAGTAATCAACGCTCGGTGTCAGCCTATGACGCCACGGCAAACGCGCGCCGTCCTTATCGATAGTAGTCCCAAAGAGGAAAAGGACGACCCGCCGACGTGTCCCCAGTTGATGGCTGAGTCAGCAATCGAGACCTCTGGATCTTCGCGGGCAGGCAGGTTTGCCCTGATGGATTCGGAACGTCCTGTCTCAACTTGCGACCTCCTCCTCTCCTTCCCCCCCCCACCCCTTTCCTCAGAGAAGTGAGATTCTGCTACAGCGACACAACCGATCACCACCCAATTTCCCCCCCGGCGTGGGTGCCACGCATCCCCCCTCGCTTATCCCTCATCATGTCTGCCACCATGGATTTGTCCCGCCTAACTCGACCCGCGATCCTGTGCCAGTGCTCGCGATGCTCCAGCTCTCTCGCCGCCTTGGAGAACGAGTGGGCGAAGCTTTCGAACTCCTACTCTATAGCGGCGGGGTGGCTGAGTGTCGAGCTGCATCGCATTTCTATCTCCTCGGAAAAGAAGCAGATCCCCCAGTCCTCGGAGTTGAGCAAATTGCGGGGTCGCATCCTACAGGAAGTCTCCTGCAAGCTTTGCCAGCAAAAGCTGGGTGCGCTGTGTGCCCTCGACAATGGGTAAGAAACGGATGATGTTAGATTTTCTTGTGTTAAGCTAACAACAATCCCTAAGTCCAAACATCTTCTGGAAGCTTTCCAAAGTGTCATTCAGGGAGATCGTGACCATGCGTACCGTCGAACCTACCTTCAAAGATGGAGCGCTCGAACGTCTGATATGCCCACCACAGGAACAACGACGAGATAGGGCTCCTTTTCAGCCAGGCGCTTTGGTCCCGGCCGGATCCACGGAGCTGGAGAGTCATGGGATCTCGGTGGAACAACAGATTCAACATCAAGGTCTTAGCCTTGATCATATTTCCAGCTCGGTCAGCAACCTCCACGATACCATGTTCGAACTCAAACATGCATTTACCGCCCTACGTATTGAGTTGAACGGCCCCGGTCGCTTCGGTCCAGACATGAACAGCCCTGCTAGCAAGGACCTGATGATCGCGACGGTGTTGAAGGAGCTCCGATCGAAGTCCGAGGAGATCGAAAGACTCAAATTGGAGATTGAAGCCTTGAAGTTGAAGAACCGCTACGTGGAGGAACAACAATCGGCTAGACAGCAGGAGCAACTGCCCCCTTCACTACCGATATTGACTGTAGGCGAGATGCTACCGGAAGTACGGAGTCCAGGACTACTGCAGGGGAGCAGGAAGCGGCCGTGGCCCGACTCGTTCCCAAGTGGTCGAACGCAGCCGATCGGGGACTCGTTTGACGATGACGATGACGACGAGAGTATCGGCGACTTTGCTCTGGATGGTAGGAATACTATACCGGCCGTCAAGATTCCACTCAAGGATCCACCCCTCCGGAATTCAGAAACAGTCCATACGACGGATACTACGACCCGCGAACCAAGCCCCTTGGGGTCCCCTCGATTGCGCATCGAAGTTAGCCACTCTCGACATCAAACACCGCACGACGATCACAATATGGACGGAAGCCTGGAAGCTTCTACGAACTCGCAGCCAAGGGAGCCAGTCGTCAAACGGCCCCGGTTGGCTCAACCGGCCGATAAAACTTCCACCAGCGCGAGGAAGGCAGGCCGGCCCCGCAAGTCATTCAGCCAGACCACCAAACCTGACATTTTCTCTCACCTCAAGCCCGCACCACTTGCCGAACAAAACACCAACAACATCAACGGAGCCAACAATCCCAAGGAAACGGCTTCTCTCGCCGCCACCAGCCCCAGTGAACCAGCCCCGGGCCAAGAGCCTCGCCGGACACGCTCTCGGAGCCTTCGAAGACGGCAGTCTGCAAATAACCTATTCTCCGCGCCAGGCCAGTCACTCCCCAACGGCAAACTGAATAATGGCGAAACCTTTAACTCAACCGAGCCGAAACCACCCAGTGCCGGCAAAGAAAACCCTCCTGTTGCCATGAACGACATCCAGGCCACGGACACTAGCGAGAAGCGCAAGGCCCAGACCGCCGCGCGCGACATCATGGTCCGACTGGCCATGCAACGCGAGGAGGCCATGGAAACCGATACTTCTCGATGAAATATCGGTGAAGGCGGGAATTCCCTCAGATTGCCTCCTCCTCTTCGCTAACAAAACATTTTTCGATTCAACCCTTCCTGTCCTTTTAAGAACCCCAAGCTTGGCCTTCCAAGGTTACGCCATGCTTTTTCTTTTGTTTTCTTCGGCGCACGAAAAGTGTTCCCTTCAGTTTTCTCCTTACCGGCGTATCGGTGAATAGGTGGGTGGGTGGGTGGGTGGGTGAATCCGGTGGACGGATTCGGCTGGTTAAGTCTAGATTGTATCTCCTTGTCTGTTCGAGACACCCCCCCGAATAATATTTCCTCTTCCGTGTGAGGTCAAGGCTACAATCTACCTCCCTTGATCAAAATAACAATCAGATGGTATCTATGATCCATACATGAGACCCGGATCGAGTAAGTCCCACAAGCAAAGCCACATAAATCCACAAATAGATCAATGGCTTGGTAGAGTACCTGAAGCTCCCTTCCCCCAAAGTAGATACATGATTCGAGATCCAACCCCCAATTTTCACCATTCCAAGACACCAACCGCTCTAGATGAGCGGGAAACACACACAGTACACATCTATTTTACACACATAAACCCACAGCCCTCGCGGGCCCGCTCACAGGCCTTCTTGAGTGCCTGCTCCTCCGTATCCGTCCACTTGACGCTCAGCTCATCCCACGGCTTCTTGGAGTTATACTCCTCGCGGAACAGCTTGTGCATCGCCTGCAGACGGGCGACCTCGCGCGGGTCCCCGGTGCCCGAGTAGACCATGAACAAGGTACAGGGCGGGAGGGCGTCGTAGATGCGCTGGATGTTCGCGACCGTCCGGCTGACCACATCCGATAATTGTGGCGTCGTTGCTGGGCGCTCTTCTTCTGTTTTCTCCTCAGAGGGTAATGTCGTACTTATGGCTGCTGCGGTGGGAGCGGCATTACTGGACGTTGTTGTTGTTGCTGTGGTTTCCTCGGCGGCAGGGACCACGGCCGTCGATTCGTTGGCGTTGTTGGGGTCGGGGAGACGATTGCAGAAGCCACGGTGGAGTTCGAGCTCGCGCAGACGCGCCCAGGTGAAGTCCACGCCGCCGCCGGGGATGGAAAGGTGGGTGTTGTCGCCGTTGACGGCGGAGGCGATGCCGTTGACGACGTCGTTGTCGTCGACGCAGCCGATTGCGACGGTCGCCTGGGCGCCGAAGCCGCGCTCGGGGTTGCCCCAGTCGACAACGGCGCCGGTGCGGCCTTCAGGGGTATTATTGGTTGTGTTGTTGTTGGTTGAGGGAGTGTGCTTGCCAGGCCGGGTGGTGCGGCCAAGGCGTTTGAAGATGCTTTCGTTGGAATTGTCGCCCGTGCCCCAGCGCTCGCCCTTCTCGCACTTCTGCTTGACGAGCTCGAGCACGGCGCGGGCGTCTTCGATGGAGTCGTGGCCGGTTTGGCCCTTTTGGATCTCCTTGCCCATGTATTTTTGAGTGAGCCACTTCAGGCTGCATTTGAGGGGCGGGCCGCGTGGGTGGGGGTAAATGAAGGTGGTGTCGACGATGAAGGGATGGGTCATCTTGAGGGCGTTCATATCGGAGTTGAGGGAGTGGCCGACGAGGATGGCTCGGGGCGTGAGGATGGTGAGAAGCTTCTGCTGAATGTCGGCGAGGGTGGTGGTGACGGGGTCGAGCTTCTCCTTTGTGATGCCGGAGAATCGAGTGAGGTAGTCGATGATGGGCTTTTGTGGCTTCACGAGCTCGTCGAGGACAACCTCCCCGTCCCAGCGGACCAAGCTAACCCGCGTGAGTTCGGACTGGCCTCCCTCCGTGATACACATTTCGCAATCCAGCGCCAATACGTCCCGTCCAGCGGTCATGCTTCCCTGCTGGATCTCAGCCTCCGGTACCTGGCCAGCCTCTAGACATTCAACGTGGGTATCAGCCCATCCATCCTCTGCAGATTGACCGGCTCGCTTGCGGTTCTCCGCTAAAGTCAACCTCTCTTGCTCGCTGGCCATGAGAGCCGGATGTAGGACGTAGTCGTTTTCGCGCAGATCCGCGACGGAACTGATAAACGTAGTGATTGGCGTTCTCTGGGAAGCCTGGTTCTTGTCGACCCTGACCGGTTTCGGACCTTTCGTGTTGTTGCTCTCCTTATTCTTCGGAAGTGGCGTGAGGAGCATCGCCTGGAGCGGCGAGTGCACTTTGTTGTACTTCGTGTCTCCAGGCGCCTTCACCGGCCAAGCGTGAGGAAACATATCGGCCAACGACTGCAGAGGCTCTGGGAGACTCTCCCGCGTCAACGGCCGCGGGTTGAACCGGTGGGACCGATCCTCCAGAGGCAGGCCTTGCTTCCATCGGGCAAAGTCCGCCGTCTTGGGATCCTCCTCCTGTTTCTCCGTAGTTTCTGTATCCTTGTCCACGTCCATTTGTTCGCTGGTCTCCTCCGGTGCCAGCGGTATAGATCCATCCAGCATCCCAAGTTCCAGGCCGGGTACCATCACTACCACAATCTTTCGTACATAGCCGGAGTGCTTGATGGAGATCCACTGTGGTGCAATGCCATCGGCAAAACAGTATAGGAGCAGACCCTGTAGGTCTGCGATCCGAATGGATGACTGTAATCGCCCTTCGACGTAGGTGAGGACGGGGTACTTGGTCTTGACACCATCCACACGCTTCTTCTTGCTCGGTCGCTGAGCTCCATTCGGCGCCTTATCGGCCCCGGCGTCGGACGTCGCAGAGTTCTCGTTGTTGTCGTTTGATTCCGATGTCGACCTCTGAAGGGACGCAAGGGTTTGTGCGACTCCGAAGCCGTTCCCTGTGTCTGGGTTGGTTTTCACCGGACTTTCGTCGTCCGAGCAATCGGCGTGCTTGCGCTTTCTGGATCCGGCCATTTCTGGGTTGACAGCGGCAATGGGTTGAAGTGTCTGAAGCAGCTTAGCCAGCTACACCGGTTCCAGCAAGTTGATTCAAGAGCCGGTTCAGACACGAAATCGCCTTCTAATCCGCTGTAAAGATGTCGAGAAAACTGGGATAATTCGCCTGACGATTGACAGAGCTCGGATGTCGCGCGGCGAAGATCCTATCAATTTCAGGCTCACGTGATGATAGCATATCGTAGGCGGTGATGAGTTCAAGTTGTGGTTGCTGCAGCGTCTGCAGGAGGGCTGCATCTGCGAAACATGCAAGCTGGACCTGCGCAGGGTCCAGGAGCCATTATACAGTAGGCTTCGCGATAGCTGAACTCATGGCTACGAAGAACTTCAAGCCAGACTCCAGAGACCATTTGTTGCAGTTCAATGAATGAATCGATCAATTCCCGATAAGCGTCCATCCCGAGGGCAAAGTGATTACTCATCCTGAAGCTTTCTTTCCTCGGATCCCACCAATCAAACCCGCTGCAGAGCGCCGAAGATCGCAAGATGGGTGGAGGAGGAGGGGGGAATAATTTAGTTACATTGTACGGAGTAGCTGTATTACAAAACATGGTTCGATCTGATAAGCGGCCAAAATTTCGCCATCGATCATCCTTTCCCTCTTCTTCCCTCGATTGTTCCGTTCATAGTACCTGGTGCTCTTCTTATTGTCTTTGCTACCTTGGTCATCTATTCTCTTTCCCCTCCTTCCTACTCAATATACTCACCAGATTGAGTACCACAACCTGTTCAACGAAGCAGATTCAAGCAAACAACTTCTCCTCTCATCCAGTGCAGCACTCTCGACAGACAGCCCTCTAAAGGTCCCCCCTCCCTCTCCCCGCCGCCGACCTCGCCCGCCGCCCGCGCTCGCTCATATTCTCCCACACCCCACGCCATCGTAACAGTCACACACGCACACAAGACTTCCTCTCTCTCCCCTCCTGCCCCCCTGCCCCCCTGCCCCCCGAAACCCACCAGCAATCAAACACAAAAAAAAACAAAAAAAAACACAAACCCACAATGTCCGCCCTCATCGAAGTGGCCACGGAGGCCGAGTTCCCGACCTACCTCTCCTCGCTGCCGCCGACCTGCCTGCTGGTGCTGTACTTCCACGCCCCCTGGGCGGCGCCCTGTACGCAGATGCGAGCCGTGCTGTCGGCCCTGGCCTCGCAATACCCGGCGACGAGCCCGCCAACGACCGCCTTCCTGAGCGTCAACGCCGAGGAGCTGCCCGACATCTCCGAAGACTACGACGTCACCGCCGTGCCCTTCGTCGTCCTCGTCCGCGACGGCCAGATCCTCGAGTCCATCAGCGGCAGTGAAGCCGTGCGCGTGCGCGATGCCGTCGAGCGCTACGCCGGCGCCGGCAGCAACACGACACAACAAACCCAACAACAGCAGCAGAAGACCGCCATCCCTCCACCATTGACCGCCGTGCCCCGCGAGGACGCCTCCGCGCCCACGACCGCCACCCAAGCGCCCAACGGAGCTACAGGCGGAGGAGCTGCTGCTGGCCCCGCCGCGACGGCGGAGACAAAGGAGGCCCTGTTCGCGCGCCTGGCGGAGCTGGTCAAGGCCGCGCCCGTCATGCTATTCATGAAGGGCACGCCCAGCGCGCCCCAGTGCGGCTTCAGCCGGCAATTGGTCGGGATCCTGCGCGAGCGCAGCGTCAAGTACGGGTTCTTCAACATCCTGGCCGATGAGGACGTGCGCCAGGGTCTGAAGGAGTTCGCCGATTGGCCCACTTTCCCCCAGTTGTGGGTGGATGGCGAGTTGGTCGGTGGGTTGGATATTGTATGTTCTATTCTTTTTCTTTTTGCCTCTTCCTGCTTTTTTTCTAAGCAAGTTAACCGTGCTAACGTCTCTCGCAATTACAGGTTAAGGAAGAACTTGAGAATGACCCGGATTTCCTCGCCGCGTACTCGGTTAACAAGGCTGTCTGAGTATTATAGAATAGGTCTGCGTTATTGGGGGTCCCTGTATTTCCCTCGTCATTTTTATTTATTTTCAAAGATACTTCCCAGTTGTCAAGTTCTCTCTAAGATCTAGCGATGGATATTGAGAAAAAATCGAAAGATTTAATTATTGTACCACCGGTTTCAGTTTCTTCCGTTGCCTTGCCGTCTCTGGTCTTGTGCCGCTCGAAGTAAAATGTCCGTCTTACATCCTCTACATGGAAGCAAAATCTACGGTGTATGTCCTCTCGTAGAAGTCATGCGATATATTGTTTATGAGGGACAGATGAAAATTTGCGAGTCAAGCAATCCGCTTTATTCGGGCATCTAGCCATGCAGGGCGAGACACATGCATATTCAAGTATGGCACGATGAAGGGATATAAAACCTACGACTCCGACTCGTCTTCCGCTCGCCAAACGTTTGCCATCCAATTTTCAGGATCCTTGTTCCGACGGGCTTGATTTGGCATCCTGGGAAACATAGGGCTGTAGTCGCGCTCATTCCAGATATTTCTAAAGGCCCGGTTGCGGATCACGGTACGGACGCGAGAGAGCACGGCATCCTCGTCGACGTACGCACCGGCCAGCCAGCGATCGCCCTGGGCGGTGTTGAAGGCGCGGCGGGCGTGCACGACGCGCCGGTTCTCGAAGATGACGCATTGGCCCGGCTCGAGTTTCAGCTCGAAGACATTCTTGGGGTCCTCCAGCTTGGCCGCGAAGTACGCCAGCGCCTTCACGGCCAGAGCGTACTCGCCGTGGTCCGGGTAGCGGTCCGTGATGCTCGCCTGGAAGGGCGGCGAGTAGTTGACGCGGGTCAGCCGCCGCCGGAGGCCCTCCCGCGGCAGCGGGAACTCCTGCTCGAACACCGGCCAGGTGTTGGTGTAGAAGTGGTCCGCGTGGTTGTACTCGTAGGTCAGGTCCAGCCGCGTCAGGGCCTTCCAGTACGGCCGCCGGTCATGGTACATGGACCGCGCCACGTGGAAGGTGTCGGCGAAGAGCGACTCGCCGCCGTCGCACGAGTTCCGCAGGCAGTGCAGCAGCTGGAACCCCGGGGGCTCGTTCATGTACATCAGGTCCATGTGGAAGTTCAGGAACTGGTTCGTATAGGCGACATTCTCGGCATTGGGTTTGTTGCGCACATCCCAGGTCGGGCCGTAGAACGTGTTGCGGAGGGGACCGAGCCGCGTCGCGATCTTCTCGACCTCGGCGCGCGAGTCCGGGATGTTCTTGACAAAGATGAGTCCCGTTTCGGCCAGGCTCCGCAGGGCCAAGGCGAATTCTTCACTTTCCTGCATGAAATCCTCGTAATCGACCCAGTACACATGTTCTTCGATCGTCGCACGATTCCAAATCTTTCGCCACCGTCTCTTGCTGCTAGCAACCTCCAGGAGGGGCGCGAAGACACCGTGTTTGATATGATCGATGTCGTACTGGGATCTGTGTATCTTCTCGCCCTTTGCCATTCCCCGGTCCCAATTTACCACCATTCTCTTGTGATTGATCTCGATAGACCGCGGCTGGATGTCAAGGGGTATGTCGGTGGTGCGGAAATTGCGTTGCTTGGTAGACGGATCGACGCACTGCGAGCATTTGCATGCATCGCGCAGCGTGTGATAGAGTACCGAGAACTCCCTCCGTCCAGGTTGCTTGATCAGAAGAGCATCCTGTGTCGCCTGGATGTCGTCCACCCATTTACCTTCGATTTGGATAGGGACCCGCAAGGGTCTGACTGACGGCCGACCTTCTTCATTGGCGGTGGTGCGGTCACGTTCAGGGTGAGTAACTTCGGGGGCGGCGCCTTGGTGGTCGTCTGGGTCGAACTCAGATTCTGAAATGAGAACGGAAGGATTCACTGGAGCAGGGGACCGTCCATGCTCTGCTGAGATCTCGGGTTCCTCCTTCTTTTCCTGCCATAGACTTGGTGTCTTTGCGTAGCTGCGGCGGAGTGCGGGGGTGAGAGCTGTTGCGATGCGAGGAGATCGCAGGAGGCTTCTTTTTAACAAGGACGCCATGTCGATCTCACTTCATCTGAGCTCCGAGCGCTGCTGCACAAGATGAGGCAGAAGCATATATATATAGCGACCGGACTAAAGGAAAGAAGGGAAGGAGATCATGGAGGGGAAGCAAAGCACATCAGCTAACAGTCAAGAACGAGAGCCTCGGCTCGGAGGTCGAACTCTTTCTCCGCAATCCGCATCGCGCTTTCTTCTCGCTTGTAGACTAGCCTCATGCCGCTTTAATCTGCCAGGCATAGTGTTATCACCGGAAAACAATTAAAGCATCACCACTTGAACATAGACGTGGTGCAGAGAAAAATTCATCAGTGAATTCGTTCGTTATTCCCGAACAAAATCACGATGCGCTCCCCTTCTTGCTCCAAGACCAACAATGGCGCGTACAACGAGCCTCAGTTCACGTCATCGCGCGCGGGAGCGCCTTTCATTTTTTCTGGCCCTGGGCGATCATCTATCGCCCCGACACAAATCATTGCACCCACTTAACTACACCCCGACTGCGTGTTATCAGCGCATTCACTATCGGAGTCGCACTAAAATTAGCCGGCTCCAGTTCAATTGGAGGACTAGACCATCCAGATTTCACCCTTTGACGTATTCCTGACCCAATCGCCGGTTCAACTTGTTACTCAGTCAAAAAAAAAAGTCGCATACAAGTATTGTGGATTTTTCTCCAACGCCACGAGCCAGATTCAAATGACCTTCTATCGGGTATAAAGCTGCATTTGAGATCAGATCAATCACCAGCGCCTGCGCGCGAACCTCCCGCCGATCTTCTCTGGTTTTATCTTTTCCCATTGACCCTCCGCAATCACATGCATGTCGGCCGGGGGCGAACACCTCAAGGATGAGGTGAGTGCATGGATCTGGGCTTGGCTGGACTTCTTTTTCTCTTCCTGCGACTATGCAAGCCGGTCTTGCTCTTATCTGCCTACTTCCTGCATACACCTCCCCACACGCAAGGCGCAAATCGACTAACATGTCCTTCCTCAGGGGTCGCGACGACAAGTCGTCCTCGCGGGCGGAATCGCAGGCCTCTTCTCACGGTACGTTATGGTTTTTCCCCCAAGCATCGCAACCGCCTCGCGTTTGCCCCCAAATCGCTTCATCGAAGCCAAAGCTGACCGGAAATCCCAAAACCACGCCAGATTCTGCATCGCCCCCCTCGACGTCGTGAAAATCCGCCTCCAACTCCAAATCCACTCCCTCTCCGACCCAATCTCCCACCAACATGTCACCGGACCAGTGTACAAGGGCACTCTATCGACGATGAAGTCGATCCTCCGCGAGGAAGGAATCACAGTGCGTTTTTCCCAGCCTTTCCCTTCCCCAAGATACACCAAGCATACCCAAACCCCAGACCACATCACTTACAACCATGCCCAAAAAAACAGGGTCTCTGGAAAGGCAACGTCCCCGCGGAACTCCTCTACCTGGCCTACGGCATCATTCAATTCAGCACCTACCGCACGACGACCCAAATCCTCGCCACCGAACTACCCACTCGCCTGCCCCCCTCAGCCGAATCCTTCATCTCCGGGGCTCTGGCCGGCGGCCTGGCCACCTTGTCCACCTATCCGCTGGATCTGCTGCGCACGCGGTTCGCCGCCCAGGGCACGGAGCGCGTCTACACGTCGCTGCTAGCCTCGGTGCGGGATATTGCGCGCCAGGAGGGCCCGCGGGGGTTTTTCCGGGGCGGCAGCGCCGCGGTGGGCCAGGTGGTGCCGTACATGGGGTTGTTCTTCGCGACGTATGAGGCGCTGCGGCCCGTCGTGGCCACGCTGCCGCAGCAGGTGCCCTACCTGCCGGCGGGCAGTGGGGATGCGGCGGCCGGCGTGATGGCGAGTGTCTTGGCCAAGACGGCGATGTTCCCGCTGGATCTGGTGCGGAAGCGATTGCAGGTGCAGGGCCCGACCCGGCTGTTGTACGTGCATCGGAATATTCCGGAGTATCGGGGGGTCTTCAGTACGATGGCGATGATTGTGAGGACGCAGGGCGTTCGGGGCCTGTATCGTGGACTGACGGTCAGTTTGTTCAAGGCGGCGCCGGCCAGTGCGGTGACCATGTGGACGTATGAGACTACGCTGCGCGTGCTTCAAGATATGGAGATCGCTGCCGATTGAGCGAGACTCTCTGGGTGGCAGCTAGTTGACTTGGATTGTTGGGGCTCGGATACACTAGACACGACACGCCAGCTCTTAGAATAGCATCTTGTAAATTATTCAACGACGTAATAGACATCATTCACAATCCACCTTGGCCGTTTTTAGACCGCAGACTCATTACAGCATTACAGATCCCGGAGCACCTCTAGCTTTTTCTCCCGAATTTTCTTGGCCAAAACAAGTGAAGCCAAACGAGGCAAAAGCAGGAACGTTCAAGAGGGGGCTGAGGAAAACAAAAACAGGAGGGGGTTGTCACACGCTAAAAACGAAAACAAAGCATTCGGCAGACCAAGACGCAAAGGAAATCAAAGCAGAACGCGGATAACGCTCAGTACTCTGCCTCCAGATCCTCAGTTTCTAGGCTGTCGCTGGCAACCTCCTCGTAGTCCTTTTCCAGCGCAGCCAAGTCTTCGCGGGCTTCGGAGAACTCGCCTTCCTCCATACCCTCACCCACATACCAGTGAACAAACGCGCGCTTGGCATACATCAGATCGAACTTATGATCCAAGCGACCCCATGCTTCGGCGATTGAAGTAGTATTCGCGAGCATGCTGACCGACCGATCAACGGGAGCGAGCTCGCTGTTAGGAACGCGCATGGGTTTCTGGAAATTGATGCCCAACTTGAACCCTGTAGGGCACCATTCGACCAGGTGGAATGTATTCTTCGCTTTGACAGCGGCAATAGCCTGGTTACAGTCGCGCGGGATAACGTCACCACGGTACAACAAAGCAACCGCCATATACTTGCCCTTCCGTGGGTCGCAAACCACCATCTGGTTATGGGGCTCAATACCTGGAGAGCATTGTTAAATATCGCCTCTTCATATCTACGAGAGAGCCTCGACACCATGCAGAACACGTACACTGGAAGGTCAGATCCTGAACTTTAAAGCTCTCGTGCGAACTGCGGTTGCTTGAAACCACAGGTGCAAATGAGATCAATGGATAGTGAATGCGGGGGAAAGGAACCAGGTTGGTCTGGAATTCGGCCAAGTCGACATTCAGGGCGCCCTCAAAGCGGAGACTGGATGTAATTGAGCTCACCACCTGCGCGATGAGGCGGTTGAGGTGGTCGTAGCCAGGACGTGGGATATCCAGGTTGCGGCGACAGATCTCGTAGACAGCCTCGTTGTCAACCAGAAAAGTGCAGTCAGCATTCTCGATTGTGCTGTGTGTCGACAGAACCGCGTTGTATGGCTCGACAACAGCAGTAGAGACGCGAGGTGAAGGGTAAATGGCAAACTCAAGCTTCGATTTCTTGCCGTACTCGGTCGAAAGGCGTTCCAGCAACAAGGCGCCAAAGCCAGAGCCAGTACCGCCGCCAAATGAATGGAATACTAGAAAGCCCTGAAGCGAGGAGCAATTATCTGAGATGGTAAGTATATCGTTAAGTACGTTCGAGCAGCCAGTGACGCCGGGTGAATACATACCGGCAACACGACGAATGCGGTCGGCGACTTCTTCAACCATTTCTTTCCCGATGGTGTAGTGCCCACGTGCATCTAGACAAAGTCAGCGCTTGCTATAATTGACAGGCGCTTCTGGGAGTCAGACAGTTGTTAGCAGCATCCTCCTTGCCATTGATCAGGGTTTCAGGGTGAAACAGCTGGCGGTATTGCCCAGTTCGAACCTCGTCAACAGGCTACAATTATTAGCCTGTATAATCACTTCCAATGAAACTGACTCGATAGAAGCCCTACCGATGGGTCAAGATCGACGAAGATCGAGCGAGGGACATATTTTCCGTTGCTGGATTCGCTGAAGAACGTTTCGAAAGAGCCCGCAGATCTGGTTTCATCAACGGCATCGGGGTTTAGGTGACCGTCTGCCTTGAGACCATGTTCAAGCAGATATCTGTTATGAAGCCATGGGTTCAGCACTGGTCTGTCCTAGGCGACGGTGCGGATCATGTCATGATGGAGTGGACGGGGATAACTTACAGCTCCCAGGCACTGTTCCCCAGCTGAATACCGGCCTGGCCGATGTGAATATGGCAGACCTGATTGATAGATCACGTTAGATTCCGAGAATGGCTAGAATTACACAACAAGCCGGTCGTCTTGAGGTAACTCGAAGCTAATCGAGGGGAGGGGTGGAGGAGGGGAGCCGTGCGGGGAAGCAAACGCTCGGGAAACCAGTATACTTCTTACCTCGCCTCTCATGTTGCAAATCTGGCTGCCTTTTTCCGTGATGAATCAGGTTGGGATCCGAGATCAATAAAGATGAGAAGAGACGAGCAGCTGACAGTGGGGGGATACAGATTGATGAGGGGTGATGAAAGAGGGAAAGATGGTGATGAGGGGAGATAGAGTTGGAAGATGATGGTGCCATGACCGGGTGGTACTTTGCTGACGGACAACGAGGACAACAACAACAACCCGCGACAACACACGCGCTTACCGGGTTTGTAAACAACCTCGAGGAAACCAATCAACAACCTTGTCCCATCTTACAAATCTTCCACCTTTTGGTGCGTACCTTAACTACTAGGTACCTTACGGTATTTTCTAGTCCCCTCCGAGTGCATTGAAAGACAGTATGATACTTACCCAAGAGCTACAGGCTTTTCATGTCACCTTACCCATACATTTCTTAAACGTCTCCCACGTGAAACTATGCGGAATGCGGGGAAACCGCGGCATCATGGATAGTCTGAAAAGCACCCGTATCAAATTGAAACTGCGTGGCCACCCAGCAAACGATTCTCGGGTGTCTTCTCCTCTCGTTCTGCCAGACTCCATGATACTTGTTTATTCGATTCAGGAATGCAGGGAATCCGAGCTGTTATGCAACGACTATATAGCGCATCATCGCCATCATCAACTTTCATACAACCTCGACTGGAAGCCTCACTGATGACAGAACAGCCTACGAAACCGCGACAATCACCATTCTCACCTGATGACATGGTTCATTCTTAGCAGCATTTAACCGGAACCTATCAGATTTCCGAGACGGACAAATGATCATCTTATAGTTCACGCACCGCGCGAAAAGACAAAAAAGGGCTCGCTTCGTTATCTGGGATCGGCAGTAGACAGACAAGGAGGGGTAGAGTAGGACACGTCGAGGGTCAATTATGATGTCGGAGGCTTGAGACACGACTCGATTAGGGATTCCGAGCCGGTCAGTGGGATTTATGCGCATAAAAACTCCGCCCCTGCATCTGCACAAAACTCAGATATTTCATCACAATGAACACGTTATTTCCAAGGTAAAAAGCCTGGAAATGCAAGGACGTCGACCATGGAAATAGGTATTATCGCTATCAAGGGATGGCCATTGTACCTATACTGTCTAACAGTGTGGTGATCTCCTGCACGAGATTATGAGAGGCTGCATTATTTAGGTTTCTATCGTTGTTGGGTTTACCGAAGCCACCGGGGCCAACGATCGGCTGCACTACAGAGCACTAGCATTTTAGCAGACGAGCTCCCTGAGTCAGGGCCAAACACAGCTCGTGTTAACGCTAAAGATAACGGCACAAGAGTCGTCGTCGCATGGTAGTTGGAACACCGTCGGCTTGCCTGAGCTCTGGCTAGAAAGTCTGGGTTGGGCGTCAGGGGTGACGCGGAGATCCAGAGAATTTACTCTGCTTGATGATGCAGTTCGGATGTTCCACGCAATTAGGAACAACAATCGTTCCAAGAAACAGCCAGTGTTCAGAAGGGAAATTTCCATGACGGCGACCGGGAGTGCCTGAATTGTGGCGTTTCTTGGCAGTCGCCACACTGCGTTGTTGAATTTTTCTTTTCATTTACCTTTCACTGAACCAGTCAATATTTCTTTCCCTTCCACCTTTCGGAGAATCTGCGTTGACCGACCAAAGGAATACTTCTGCAGGTACTATATCCCGATCAAAAGTCAATGAGGGCATGCAGCATGGGAAGTCAAGTCACGATGGTGATAGCCAACGATAATACTATCGGGATATAACCCCTCGAAAAGCAGCAACCGATGCAGTGCGGAGTCATTGCGCAACGCACAGTGATCCAGTCTGGGACTCTGGGACTCCTGGGTCTGTAAGGATCCACTTTCTTCTTTCGAAGTGGGGATTCGAAGGGCCCATTAATTGTTAGTCCCGACGCCCACCGCAGCCACAACTGGGGCCGGCGCCATTGTTGCCTTGACTGTTTGCTGATTGAATGAGATTATGAGGGTCTCCGCCCTGGCGCAATCTATCGATCTCACTTGAACTGGCCTAACTCGATAGCTTCGGAATTCCTGCCTCTGCCGCATCTGTAGATCGGAGGATAATGACTATAGTACGATGAGGATTGAAAGAAAGGAAGTAAAGAATAGATATTGCTGCAGTAGAAACATTGCGAATAACGCCAATAATCAGCCGAATCATGCGCATCGGCAGGGCAGCAAGTCAAAGCAAATTGGTCTGGACCAGAGGGAGCAGCATCTCGGTTTCTTGGGCGTTTCCACTGGCCGACTTTCCCGTGCGATCGGCGAGGTTTCCGCATCGATCAACTCCTGCTCTATTGCTGCTGCCATCCATGGATGGAGCTCTGTGGATGGGAGTGAGAGTTTGTCAGTCAGTCAGTCAGTCAGTCAGTCCGTCTGTCTGTCTGTCTGTCTATCTGTCTGTTCGTCGTCTTTTCTTCATAAGAGTTCCCCACTTCGTCCCTCTTCTGTCTTCCTGTCATCTCAATAGTCTTGTCTCTTTTCTCCTTTTCCTTTCCACCTTCTTTCTTCTCTCGCACACACACACTCTCTCTCACCCATCTTCTCGCCTCACTGCATTTGCTTCGGCTGTTCGCTTTATTGTACTTCCATACTGCTTCCCACTTGCTTGTATAAAATACCGGCGAGTTCTTTTCTTGCCTTGCTTATCAAAACCTCTAATAAATCCCATGCATAATTAAATCATTTGAGCGGTATGTATCGATTCTAGTAATCTTATTTATGGCAATCGTCCCCACCAGTGTTCACTCGACACTCTCGCTCGTGCGCTTCTTACTGTCTCACCTCAATTTCCCCACGGACTGTCCACAGCAGCTTGGCTTTTTCCATTTAAAAAAACTCCTATTCCCTGGCTGTTCTTCGGTCGATCCATCTCCTGTTTCTCATTAACCCATGTCGGCCTTTCTCTGACTGTCTGCACAGATTTGAGAGTTGACCAGGTCAATCGATACCTTTATCGATCAAGTACCAGACTTTGAGCCTATTAGTTTCGTCGACTGGCCCGGTGCCAGCATGTCACACCCATCAGAGAATCTTCAAGTTCCGGTACATCAGCATGAGAAGAGATTAGAGGGCGACACCCCCGATACCGACGAGGGAACCTACTACGATGGCTCCACCAGCGGGCACGGCAATCACCTTCGGGTAGATACCTCGTATGACTATGATCCCGCTGCCTTGCGCTCACCTGCGACTGCACGAGAGGAGTCGATGCGCCTGGAAGATGATCTGGCCGTTCTTGAGGCCGAGCGCATGGCATCCCGTTCCACCACGCAGGAGGGGTCGATGAGAAAGGGCGAAGACGACGGTGCCTCGATGGCCAGATCTCGCTCTCGTCCATCTCAGCATGTTGTTGATGAGTTTGATGAGGCGACCAACCCATTGCACGAGAAAGCGGCAGTCTACAACCCTCCCGAGAACCCCAACACCAACATCGCCAGATTCATTAAGAAGCTCCATGAGTCGAGTTTCATTGTGCGCTACCTCACCTACATTGTGCCACTAGTTCTGATCCTGTTGATTCCTTTGTTGGTCGGTGCCCTAGCGTTTCCGGACGCCAATGTGGGAGGAGTTAAGTTGCTCTGGTTTTCGGTCTGGTTGGAGATTGTCTGGTTGACTTTGTGGGCCGGAAGAGTGAGTGCAAACCATTCAATGATGTCAGGCTAGATACTAACCTTAATTGCTCCCTTCTAGATTGTCTCGAAATGTATCCCAGTTCCAGCTGGCTGGATTGCTAGTATTTTCACCAACAACGCCAAAAAGTGGCGTGACATGGCCAAACAGCTCGAGCTCCATGGCACCTTGTTCTTTTGGTGGCTAGGTGTGGAAATCTCGTTCCTGCCCACCATGAAGAACCATCACGTCGACGGTAGCCACGGCACAAAATCCTGGGAGAATACAGTCAACAAGATCATCATCTCTATCTTTGTATGGACAATCCTGAACCTGGTCGAAAAAGTCATCATCCAATTCATCGCCATCAGCTTCCACACCCGTACTTACGCGGATCGCATTGAGATCAACAAATTTCAGATCGGCAGTCTGACTAAACTATATGACTTCTCTCGGCGAAAGATCACAGCTGAAGACACGGAGTTCGAGGAAAAAGACAAAGGTACCCCAACCGGAATGAAGACCCCGCTGCATTATGCCGGAAAGGCAGGACGTCTGGCCAAGGGGGCCTTGAACAAAGTGGGCAACAAGGTGGGCGACGTGGCTGGCGCAGTTGCTGCCGACTTCACTGGCCGCACGGTTAATAACAGCAGTCACCCGTATCAGGTGGTGCTGACCTTGTTGCGCACCACGAGTGGCTGCCAGGTCCTGGCTCGTCGACTCTATCGCACTCTGGTGCGGGATGGTTTCGAGACCGTGTTTTCTGGAGATCTCAAGGAAGCCTTCGATAATAACGAAGAGGCGGACGCCGCTTTCACCATGTTTGACAAGGATATGAACGGAGATATCTCGATGGAGGAGTTGGAAGCAGTGTGCGTGGAGATCGGACGGGAGCGCAAAGCCATCACCGCATCACTGAAGGACCTGGACTCTGTCGTCGGCAGGCTCGACAACATTTTGGAATTTTTCGTGATCATCATTACCGTGATCGTCTTCCTGACGCTCATCTCGACGTCCGCCGCCGGAGTGTTGACCTCTGCCGGGTCTAGTATTCTCGCATTGTCGTGGCTTTTCTCCGCCACCGCGCAGGAATTTCTCCAATCCATTATCTTCGTCTTCGTGAAGCATCCATTCGATGTTGGTGACCGTGTGACTATCTATGGTAACGCAGGCGATGCCGGTTTGGGTGATGACTACTTTGTCAAGCAAATTTCGCTTCTGTACACGGAGTTCAAGAAGATGCAAGGCCATGTTGTGCAGGCTCCTAACAGCTACCTCAACGGTTTGTTCATTCTGAACCAGCGTCGGTCCGGTGCACTGGCGGAAGCAGTGCCCATCGTCATCAAATATGGTACCACTCTCGAGCAGATTGATGCCCTACGTCAGCGCCTGTTGGAGTTTGTCCGCAGTGAACGCCGTGAATTTCAGACCAACATTCTCACCGAAATGCGCACAATCACGGAGAACTTCTCTGTAACGCTCAATGTTGTCTTCTTCTACAAGTCGAACTGGCAGAACGAAGGCTTGCGTCTGCAGCGCCGCAACAAGTTTATCTGTATGTTGATGGTTGCCCTCCAGGAGATCGGCATCGAGGGACCACGCATGAACCTCCAGGGTGCCGGTGTCGATATTCCTTTCCACATTGCCGGGTTCCCGCAGCCTCACATGCCCGCTACTCCTGGCAGCAGAGATGGCAATCCTCCCCCGACTCCTATTGGCGACCATCACGGCTATGCGCCCGAGAATACCGGGCTCAGCAGCGCTACCCGTCACCCATCCATCCTCCGCAAAGGCATGAACACTGCTGCCGCCCGGGCTCGTGGTGATTCTATGCTCTCCCGCAAACACGTGGATTTTTCGCTGGGCATGCGGGATATCTCCTCTGGCGATGTCATGGGCGACGTCTTCGAGGATCGCCGCGCCCGAGTTGAGGACATTGTCCGAACCACTAACCGGGAGAATACCGAGCGCCGCATTCAAGAAGAGGAGGAAGAAGAGGCCGAGCGTCAAAGCCGTAACTCATCCTCCCGCCGTCGCAGCAACTCCAATCTGAGCGTCCCGTCCACTTCGCGCGCAGGTCGCCGATCGGTTGACTCCCAGGGCGGGCACAGTGTGACCTCTATCACCCACAATCGTTTCTTCCGGCATCATCGCAGCAGCATCAGCCGCGCGCCCGACGATTTGATGGAGCAGGGCCGCTCCGATCAAGGCGCCAGCACGGATGCCCCTGGCTCCGATCTCCATCCGAGCGTATCTCATCCTGCGGAGAAGCAATAATTGCATCTGGAGGATCTCGTGATATTGAAAAGTACATCATAGATAATAAAATTGTAGATAAAGCATTTCTTTCTGATTGAATAGTTTGCAAGATCAGTCAATATCAAATCATATATAGAAGATCGTACCTATCTCGTCTATTGAAAGTGGGTAGAGTTAAGGCTGAGACTTACCTGTCAACCTTATTCAACTTCAAGATCCTGTAGTTGATACCAAAGGAACGATGTAGCAAAGCTATAAGCTTCTCCATCTCGTCCACCCTACGGAGCTGTGACTTGAGCGCCTTAATGCACGCATGCACGCCCTGTTGAATCTGCTTAGTCATGTCTTACATAGCTTCAGGAGATGGCCGAATCGAGTAACCGGACGGAATATGCAGAAAAAGAGCTAGCTTAAGTTACTCTGTGTTACACGAGATTTATGCCATTGCCCATCACTCCTGGCTGCCATATCAATTGACTGCGAAGGTCAGTCGACATGTTAGAAACCTCACATTCTCGTGCCATTTCTGCAGAATATGAAACAATCCTGTCTTCCTCCGAGAAAAGTCATCAAATTTCATACACATATAGTCCCGGAAGCATCAACAACTGCGGGAAAAGCGACTATACTCAAATTACATAATGGAGAACCGCCCGGACAATTCCAGACAGACCGACGGAAGCCCGCCCATTTCGCAGCGCGGAGAGATAGCAAAGCTAGCTCAACATGACTCAACACAGATTCGCCACGAGCCCGGCCCATCCATCTCCAAAGGACAGACAGCAGACACACAAGATGGAATGGATCCTGCGGCGACCGAAAACCCGTCTGGGCGGGCACCAGCGTCGCAGCGGGGCCCGCGGATCCCGAACGCTACCATATCATGAGTAGCAAGAACCCGGTTATTTGGATGGAGCGTTTTGTTTCACAATCAACAGGCTCAGGCTCAGGCCCATTATGCTTGGCAGTCGCTATTGGTTATTTTTTATCCTGAATTGCCCTTTTTTCTTTTCCTCGTGCGGAAGCAAAGCAGGCATTCGGGAGAAATAGTGAAACAGCCCAGCCCTCACTTATCTTGTTCGCAGAAATATGCCACCAACCTGGCGTGGCCTGTGGCCAGGCCATAATGGGACTCCGACGCCTCCGAGGTTCCTGAAGTTCAGGTCCTCCGATGGCTTTATCATGTTCGTTGTGTCTTTTGCTGTGTTCACGGTATGTCTTTGGATAATGGAGATCTATGAAAACCATAATGATTGACGTTGAAATTAGGATATTCTTTTGTATGGGCTAGTATGTGGATCCCTTCAGAAGGGCGCCGCCCCCCCCCTCCCTGCCCTGTGATCTAGACTCTTCTGCCAGGTGCCGCTTGAATGCGTTTCCGCTCTCTAACCTTATTCTCGAAGATTGTCCCTGTTGCTCCCACGGCTCTTCATGAAAGAGTGGGTTTGTCTGTTGATGAAGGTACGTCATTACCATGAGGTGTAGTCGTATCAAACCACTGATCATTTTTATCAATGTGATGGCACAGAGCAAAGATGGACGTCCATCCTTCTAGCTCTATACGGCGCAGCTTTACTAGCCACCTCGCGTGAGTAGCCGCCTTTACTTTATTTCCCCCTTTCATCATCTTCAACCCAACCTCCAATACTAACTATCGCATGCAGCGGTTGCGGGCTACATAGCGGACCGCTTTGACTCCCGCTACTGGCCCTTGATCACCGGCCTGGTAGCTCTGGGGGCATCGACCGCGTTGCTCTGCGTGGGGACGAACCTGACGCTCTGGATCCTCGGCCGATTGTTTCAGGGCGCTTCTGCTGCTGTAGTCTGGACGGTGGGACTGGCGCTGATGGTCGACACCGTCGGCCGGGACGGCCTCGGGCAGGCGATGGGCTACATCGGCATGGGCCTGACCCTGGGCATCATGGGGGGCCCGCTCCTCGGCGGCGTCATCTACGGCCGCGGGGGTTACTACGCGGTCTTCGGGCTTGCTTTTGGCCTCGTCGGCGTGGATATTGTCCTCCGGTTGGTGATGATCGAAAAGAAGCATGCCGTCAGATGGCAGCAGCAGCAGCCACCGCCGCCGCCGCCGGCGTCAAAAGACAAAGACGCAACCCAGAAAGAAGCCGACCAACCATCCTCACACTCCTCCGCCTCATCATCCAACACAATCCCCGAAAAGGCCTCCGATCTCGAGCAGCAACAGCAGCAGCACATAACCCCCCCGCAACCCCAACAAAAACCCACGCAAGCCAACGCAATTACGACCCTCCTCTCCTCCCCACGCATGCTAGTCACACTCTGGACATACTTCATCATCTCCCTAGTCTTCAGCTCCTTCGACAGCGTGCTCCCGCTCTTCGTCGAAGACACCTTCGGCTGGGGCCAGTTGGGACAAGGGCTGATCTTCATCCCGATCTCGGTGCCGCACCTCCTCGACCCGGTGGTCGGGTACGTGAACGATCGGTTCCCCGCGATCCGCCGGTACCTGGCGGCGGGCGCGCTGGTCGCCACCGTGCCGGCCATCGTCGCGATGCGCTGCGTGACGGCCAACGCCCTCAACGACAAGGTGCTGCTCTGCGCGCTGCTGGCGCTGGTGGGCGCCTGCCTCGCCGCGCTCATGCCCCCCGTCATCGTTGAGGCCTCGTACGTCGTCCAGGAGAAGGAGGCGCGCAACCCCCACATCTTCGGGAAAGGTGGCGCCATGGCCCTGGCGTACGGCATCCTCAACGTCGCCTTCGCCGCCGGCACCATCGCCGGCCCCTTCTTCGCCGGCTTCATTCGCCAGACTGCCGGCTGGGCCACCATGACCTGGGCGCTGGCCCTGGTGACCGGCCTGTCGGCGGTTCCCGTCGTCTTGCTCCTGGGCGGGTTTCTGTTTCACAAAAAGAGGGGCAGCAGCGAGAAGATGGATGCCGGTGGTGGTGGCGGTGGTAGTGGCTCGAGCGATTGAGAGAGCGGCTTCGAACAAAATGTCTCTCAGATGATTCTTGTTATATACATACATTCCGGTAAGGACGAGGCGGCGGATCTCACGACATGTTGATACTTCCTCTTCTCCTCTCCTTTCTACATACATACATAGATACTTGTACATAATTATCAAATGAGTTCACAAGATGTGATTAAATTTTAAATACTCAACTCCGTGGATGCTATATATACAGGACCTGGATAGAGATATTGAAAAGAAAAAAAAAAAGGCAAGAGAAGAAGAATGACAGAAGATAGAGAGAATGGCCATGGGACAGGGCATTAGCAATGCGCCACATATATCCAGCTTGCATCGCAAAACAAACCCGGTCGGGGAAGTATATAGATAGTTGCAACCCGATCCAAATTTTGGGCAGAATTGCCAGAACCAGCACGGTATACCCCCACCACGACTTTTTTTCTCTCAATATTCTCTCTCCATTCTCCCTCCCACTTTTGCTGCAGAGCGACAGTCATACATACATACAGGCAAAGGGAGATGCAATTTTGAGGATCACGGAGTGAGTAGAAATGAACCAAGAGTTTGAACACAAAGGAGAAGAGAGAATGATCTGGCAGGCGAACAACGGGGTCATGTCAAAAAGAAAACGGCGAGATGCAGATGAATGAGTCCCAAGAGGACAAGAAGAAAGATGACAACGAAGGAAGAAGACAGAAAAAACATCCAGACAGCCTGATTGCGGTGGTTCGACGCAGAACAACTCCAGAAACACCCGCTCAGCCTTGACATGCATGCGAGAAAAGCAAAATATCTGATAGCACGAAGAAAAGTTGAAACAGGATTCTCAGGGGGTGTGTCTGATGAAGAACGGAGGTTTTGTGAGAAACAGGAATCGAAGCAAGCCGGCCCGGACGGCAATCGTACAAGACAGCGACGGCGTCTATCTTTCTAGGACCAAATGACGAGATACTTATTCTATCGCTGAGACTCATCGTGAGTAGTGCCAGAGTAGAAGCTGGGCAAGGGGGTAGGCAAAGGCCGAGGTGTCGCTTCGGCGTCTGTAATCTGATCAATAGGTGCATCGGGGGATAAGTCTGCAGCAGAGTAGGTTTCGCTTATTTTGGAACGGGGAGTGTCGAAATCGTCTTCCACAGGGGCCAGATCAAGATTGCTCTTCGGAAAGACGATCGGAGGCGTGATATGCCCTTTTTTAAAAGGCTCAACATTGGGCTCGTGAATGGTACCAGGCGCAGACCTAGTGTCGGGTGGAGACGATTCATCCAAGAAAATGGCAGGTGGGTCCATCCTGAATCCTAGCTCTCGCGTTGGAGAGTGCTTAGGGCTATATTCCTCTTCCTCCTCTTCTTCCACAGTGCTGATGATCGCCTCCTCGGGAATATGGAGGCCCTCGTACTTCCTCTCCATAGTGAAAGGGTGAAGGCCACCGTGCTCTTCGCTATCACTGATTTCAGAAGAACCACCACTCCTGCGTCTTTCCATGGACTCTCTCTCCTTCTTCAGTAGCTCCTCACTGCCGCTGACCACGCTTCCTCGACTGTTGGTCCTCATCATCTCAATGCCCAACTTGGAACCCGGTCGATGGGTTCGGTGACGTGGACTACAAGTTCGCGAGGGGGTATTGCCTAGCTCTTCATCCTCGTCATCGCCGGACTCGCCGCACTCATACCGATTCCTCTCCAACGACTCTCTCTTGGCACGAATTGCCTCGCTAGATCGCTGTTTGTGGGGGGTCGTAGTCGCCTCCGAGGGGACGGTTGCTGGGGCCGAATCCGAGTGAAGCAGGTTGGGGAACGGAACTGCCTCGGGACCGCTCCTGTAGCCAGCATCTGTGCTTCTTCTGGCCTTATTCGACTCTTCGGTTATGCCAAGTCCGCCCTTGCTAGGGGTCCAGTCGTCATTGTTCCGACTCACAATCACAGGAACATCATCAGTCTTGACAGATTCCATGTCGCCAAAATAACTACTACCGATAGAGTCCTCGCGACTAGACCCTCGGTATGAGCTAGAGGGAACATGCACAAAGCCAGAGGATGCCGTCGAACTCGGGCTATGCTCAACCTGACTCGGAGGTTGGCGGAGCATAACTGGTGCTGGCATTGACAGGGGATTGTAATCCTTTGGAGGTGGCTTCCACTGACAGAATTTACACAGTGCTTCAGTCAAC